AACGACATCTTGAACTCCCAAGAAACCTCAATGAGCTTGGTTACTCTGTGGATATGGTCGATCTTGCTGAATCCTTTTCGGAACCCGGCTTGCTCACATGGTTGTCCTTCATGTAGTGTTCTGCCAATCCTATTCAGGATGACTTGAGTGAACAGCTTGTAGATGACAGACAACAGGCAGATTGGGCGATAGTTGCCAATGTCTTGGATGTCTCCCTTCTTGTACAGTAGAACAGTCCTGCTGGTTTTCCATTGGGATGGAACCTTGCATTCATACAGGTAGCGTGTGAAGAGCTGAGCCAGTGTATTGATGAGTACTGATGGCAGGTTCTTCAGGTGTTCGGGTCTGATCTTGTCTGGACTGGGTGCTGTTCGCTTCTTTACCGACGAAATAGCGCGCCAAATTTTGGAAGGGAGAACGTTGGGAACAACATATCCATGCTGTGGAATTTGGTATGTGGGCAGGTGGATGTGGCTATTGAAGAGATCCGAGTAGAAGTCATGGATAATCTTCTCCATTGCCCTTCTGGACGATGTGATATATCCATCAGATGTCAGAGGGCAGTCATCTTGGTCTTGTAGATGGCGAAGGACAGGCGGGCATTGCGAATGCTTTTCCTGGCTTCTGCTGCATCAGCCAGCACTGCTACTCTTCTCTCTTTGAGGTCTTTCTTTATCGCTTCTCTGCACTGATTTGCAAGCTCGGATGTTCGCTTGCAGTTGCCTGAGGCTCACGCCATTGGCGAATGAGCTCGAGAGTTTTCAAAGACAGGCAACTTTTTGTGGCTATCTCTCTCGCATTCCTTGCACAATCATGGAAGTGCTGAACCAGTCGATCATATTCCTCGTCAATGTTGTCAACAATGGCATCTTCCCATGTTGCCGCAATAGTGCCAAAGAGCTCCCAGTTGGTGGTCTTTCTGGGAGTTCTCTTTTTAAGCTTTGCAGCCCTTTCTCCCCGCTCTGTGAAGTAGAATTTTGCACTAAGGAGATGGTGGTCCGATCCCGTTCGGAATTTTGGGACAACAGCAACATCGGTCAGGCAAAACCATCAATTGAATATGATGTGGTCAATTTCGTTGTGGAACCATCCACCGGGAGACTCCCATGTCCAACGTTTAGATTCGGCCTTCTGGAACTGTGAGTTACCATGGATGGTCTGGTTGACATGATGCACACAGACAGTCTCTCACCCTGTTCATTCCATTCTAGGCCATGGGTCCTGATGTGGAGTTCTTCGGCCGATCTTCTCAGTCCTATCTTGGCATTAAAAACACCAACAATGATCTTGTAGAAGGTGCGGTCTTCTTTATAGAACTTCTCCAACTGCATGTAGAACTTCTCAATTTCTTCTTCATCATAATTGGATGTTGGTGCGTAGACAACGAAGATAGAAACTTCCGAAACTTCCAGCAGTGAGCCAGCCACGTCTATTCAAGTGTAATCATTCCATTCGGGTTGTTAGGCATTCGAATGAAACAATGCTCATGGCCAAGTTCGTGTTGACACCACACCACAGACGCCTCTTTTGTTGCATGTTCCGAGGAACAGTTCTTCTCCAGTGTTGAAAATGGCGTGATGTGGTTGATGCCTTCTCGTCTCGGTCAGACCAATGATGTCGTACTTGATATTTCGCCTTCCACCACCCGCTCCTTGATGGATGCATCCGATGCCAGCATAAGTGCATTGAAAGTACAGACAGTCATTTTGTCTTTCTTTATTTTGGCAGCCTAGTTCAGCCTTGAGATTTTATCAGTCTCTCCTTCCTCATCCTTCTTAATGCTGCCATATTGGAGGCTCTTTCAGGGTCAGGGGAATGAGACCCACTATATTTACAGTTTATATTGAATATGCCAATTTTCTATAAATTTATTAATTTTTTATTTTGAGTTTGGAAGCAAACCCAGTAGTTCTCAGGGCATACCCCTGGCTCTCAGCTCAGGGATCACTCCTGGAAGGCTTACTTGACTATGTGGGCTACCAGGGATCCAACCTGGGTCGGCTCCACTCAGGGCAAGTGTACTATCACTCTGGCCCCAGTGTTTACCTTTCTAGTGCATCTTTCCCTTCAGCCTTTAAATATTCCATTATGTCTGTCATTTAAAAAAAAAAATCTTTCTTGACTCCACTCCCCCCTCTGCCCTGCCCCTCCCGACTCGTCTAGCAAACTCTTGAAGAGGCTTGCCTTTGCTGCCTCTGCCCTTTCCTCCCCCGATCTCTCTCCAGAAAACTCCGCTCTGGCTTTTGGCCTCCATCACTCAGTCAAACCCGCTCCTGTCCAAGTCAAGCCACCAATGACTTTGCAGTGCTAAGTCCAAGGGCCAATCTCAGTGGTCACCAGCAGGACCTCACTACGGCGACAGCAAGGCTGGCTCCTCTTCCTGAAGGTCCCCCTGGAAGAGATGGGCACTTGGGATTCCGTGTCTGGATCCTTTTCCTCTCTCTACATCTCATCACAGCTTTCCCTTCCATCTTTTATCTCACTTAACCCACTGAGACCTGGACATATTCTTTTCTACCCTCTACCTGGGCAAGCAAACCCCAGAAGACTGAGTTACCTGGCAGACGTTTGATGCCAGACCAGAGGGTTTTGACCACAACCCTCCATAGAGACCACGCTAGCCCAACCTAAGCACAATATCCACAAAGATTGAGTCACAAGCCCCGGGAGTGGAGGATGACACAAAAAGAAGTTTAAAATGGGACTACCTTAAACTGAGAAGCTTCTGCACCTCAAAAGATACAGTGACCAGAATACAAAGACAGTCTACAGAATGGGAAAGAATAGTCACCGCATACCCATCTGATACGGGCTTGATATCAAGGATTTACAAGGCACCTCCACAAGAAGAAAACATCCAACCCCATCAGAAACTGGGACGATGGAATGAACAGAAACTTTCTCAAAGAAGAAATCCGAATGGCCAAAAGACACATAAAAAAAATATGCTCTAATCATCAGGGAGATGCAGATCAAAACAACAATGAGACATCATCTCACACCACAGAGACTGGCCCACATCCAAAAGAACTAAAGCAACCGGTGTTGGCGCGGATGTGGGGAGAAAGGGACCCTCCTTCACTGCTGGTGGGAATGCCAACTGGTTCAGCCCTTTTGGAAAACAGTATGAGACAGTACAAGGGTTAAGGCACTTGCTTTGCATACGCCTGACAAGGGTTCAATCCCCATAGGGTCCCCAGAACCACACCAGGAGTGATCCCTGAGCACAGAGCCAGAAGTAAACCCAAATGAAAACAAAACCAACCCTCCAAATATCTTGTTGTTTGTTTTGGTATTGGGATGTGGTTTATGGGGACGTTGTTTCTGGCAGGCTTGGGGGACCATATGCAGTGCCAGGGAATCCAGGTCAGGCACGTGCAAGGCAAGTGCCCTACCCACTGTACTATCTCTCCAGCCCTTCATTTGCTTTCTACATTTCATAATCGGCCTGTTCATTGTTGACTGAGCACGTGCCTTGCGCTCAGCTCTGTCCTTGTGAAGTTCACAGTGACAGAGAAAATGGGGCCTGGCCTTGAGGGACAGGATATGAGTGAGGGCCTCCAGCTAGGAAGGATGAAGGCAGAGGAGAGGCAATAGCCACCAGGCATCTGTCAGGGGATGAGCTTTGCCCAGCGAGGGGTGGTCTGTGCTTGCTAGACCCTGCCATGAGGAGAGAGGATGACATCTCCAGGGTCACCGCTACATAGCGTCTGCCTCCACGTCTCTGCATCAGTGATTACTGGGCCTGGTCACTTTCTCTCCAGATTTCTGAGGGTATTCAGAGAACTGCAAACCACTCTGGGTACTACTGAGGAAGCTGGAGGCAGAGGCAGAGGGTTTTTGCAAAATCACGATTAGGGTGTTCATGCCGAAGGACTTCTCCCAGGGGATCTGAGGTGAGTCTGGTGTGCATGGACAAAGGTGGCCACTGCCCTCGCGTGGTCAGCTCCTCTTCGCTGATCCGCCCCGTTCCCAGGCAGCCCAGGGCCAGCCTGCGGCTGGAAACCTGGCTCGGGCTGGAGGAAGGAATTAATAGCCGGGGCTCTGGGTGGCCCCGAGACAGAGCGGTGTTTATCCAGGAAAAAGAGGTCGGATGTAGGCAGGCCCCTGCCAGCTCCTCCCCAAAGCCCTGGCCTAGGGAAGCGGTGGGGGAGGACGCTGCTCCCTCCGGGTCTCAGCGGCCTCCGGGCTGAGCCGGGGTCCAGCAGCGGCCTGGTAGGTCCAGCGGAGGCCTGTTCGCCCGGGGCCACCCCGCCGAACCCCATGCTTGCTGGCGGCGGGGACCTGGCGCTGCGGTGGCACGGGTCTGGGCACCCCGCTGGAGGCAGCGGGGAATCAATACTGCCTTTGTCCTCGGTGGGAGGGGCGACCTGGCAGACCGGCTCGGTCCTGCACGCGGGCCCAGCCAGGTAGGGCCCAGAGGCGCCGCCAAGAGCGGGCGCGACACCGCGTCCCCGAAAGGTGCGTGTCCGCGGACAGGCCCGGGTGCCCGCAGCGCCCGCACCTGACGCGCGGCGAGTTCGCTTCGGAGCTGGGCGGACGAGGGAGGAGCCGGAGCGGGCAGCGGGGGAGGGGGGCAAGGGTCGAAGGAGAGCCCCAGAGGGCACCCAAGGGAGAAGTCCGGTCTGCAGAAAGCGCGAGCGGCAAGCGGGTGCGGTGGGGGGCTGCCAGGATGGAAGGAGACGGGGGTCCGTGAGCCTCGGGATCTTGACTCTCTGCATCGCGGGGGCGCTGCCCCGTCCACCTCCTCTTCCCTCTGCGACTCCGGTGGGCGTCCCTGATGCCGGGGGGCGAGGGCAGGGGTGTCTGCCGTGCTCCCGGCGGCCCCAAGCCCGCGGCTGCCAGGTGACCGGCCCCGGGCCTAGGAGCGCGCGTCGCCCCGGGGACCCGGGAAGGAGCGCGCGCGCGCGCGCGGCCACCGCCCGCGCTCCGCACCCACCGGCCGCCGCCCCGACGCCCCGACGCCCCGACGCCGCACCCGGAGCCCCGCGCCGCGCCGCATGTGGCTCCTGGAGAGGACCGGCCACCGGGGGGCCGCGGCCGAGGCGCCCCGCGCCTGCCCCAACGTGCTCACCCCGGACCGCATCCCGCAGTTCTGCATCCCGCCGCGCCTGCCCGGCGCGGACAGCCCGGCCGGCCGCCGCGGCCACCTCCCCGCAGCCTGCTCGCTCCCGCACCTGGCGGGCCGTGCGGGATGCGCCTTCCTGCCCGAGAGCCCGCACACGCGCCGCCGCGAGTCCCTGTTCCACGCGCCGCCGCCCGGCCCGCCCGCCGCGCGCCTGCACGCGTCCACCCCGGACCTGCGCCGCTGCCTCTGCCGCGCGCCCGCCGGCCACGGCCACTCGTCCGCCGACTCGCCGCCGCCCCCCCGGACCCGGACCCGGACCCGGACCCGGGCCCGGCCGCTCTCGCTGCCCGCCCCGGAGGGTCCCGGCCCGGCCGCCCCGCCGCCGCCGCCGCCGCCGCTCTTCCACCTGGACGTGCTGCGCGGGCAGCTGCGGCCCGCGCGCGACAGTGTCCTGCGCCTCGGGCCGCGCGGCGGGCAGCTGCGGGTGTCCGCCGAGTACCAGGCGGCGGCCCGGCGCCTGCGGCTGCGGCTGGTCAGCGCCGAGCGCCTGCCCGCGCCGCGCCCCGGGCCCGGGCGCGGCGGCGGCGGCTGCTGCGTGGTGCTGAGGCTGCGGCCGCGTGTGCGGCCGCGGGGCCAGCGCAGCCGCGTGGTCAGGTGCAGCGCCAACCCCATCTTCAACGAGGACTTCTTCTTCGACGGCCTCGGCCCGCCCGACCTGGCCGCCCGCAGCCTCCGCGCCAAGGTGCTGGACCGCGGCGCGGGCCTCCGCCGGGACGTGCTGCTGGGCGAGTGCGAGGCGCCGCTGCTGGCCCTGCTGCCGCCCCCCGGCGCGGGGCTGGGCCCGGGGGCCTCCCTGGCGCCCGCCCACCTCAGCCCCTAGGCGACGGAGGGTCGCGACCGACCGACCGACAGACCGACAGACCGACCGACCAACCGACCAGACGCCGCGCGCCACTGGACGCCGCCGAGGCCCCTTCCCGCCGCTGGACGCCGAGGCCCCTTCCCTCCACTGGACACCAAGGCTTCGCTCTTTCCCGCCGCTGCCGCGTATTTATTTGTTCGTTTCGGGGGACCACACCCGGCGATGCTCAGGGGTTGTTCCTGACTCCCCACCAAGGGAGCACCCCTGGCAGGGCCTGGACGGAACCCAGGTCGACCGTGCGCAAGACCAATTCCCTCCCTGCTGTACTACCGCTGCACCCGGCTTGTATTTATTTTTGTTAATAAAGTGTCCCTCTGTCTAGCTGTCGGCCGAGGCCTCCATCTGCAGCGTGACTGGCGCGCCCTGCATGCTCGGTGCCATCTGTCTCTGATGTCCGGTACCCTTTGCCCTGATCAGACCAGGGATGGGGGAGCTCATTCAGTCCAACTAGGGACAGGAAGGGATGGGCTGCTCTGTGTTTGCCCCATAACACCCCACCCCCACTTCCCAGCACCAGCACCAAGCAGGCCCCTGGTGTCACCCTGAAAGCAGAACGCAGAAACGAAAAAGAACAGGTCATCTGAGTTGGAGGGGCCCCTAAAGCTCGGACCGTAAGTTCTCAAACCTGAATGACCATCAGAACCACCAGGAGTCCTTGCTGGGCTTGGCCAATACTCAGAATTCTAGAGCTGGGTACAGGACGTGGTGCTTTAGCAGGGCTGGGCTGGGCAGGACCTGGGGTCCCTGTGAAACAAAGCCCACCCCCTTAAGGGGGACTAGCAGTCACTGGAAAAGCTGAGACACAGACTGGCATGTGCCACCAGCTTCCCTCTGCCTTGGGGCCCAGCCGGGAAACTCAGAGTCCTCCTCCCCAGTGCTCCTCCCAGTAACACCTGCTCAGCAACCACTTCTTCCCTGGGAGAGGGAGTCTGCAAGTTGGGAGTCAGTTGAGATTGTCAGCCCTGGGCAGCGGCTTTAGGTGTCTCTCCTGCCCAGCCCGCCCACATCCTGGGGGTCAGAGTCAGCCAGAGGAGCACTCGGGACAGAAGACTAGTGACTTCCAGAGTGGGGCCTGGGGGTCCAGGGGGGGCATCACCAAGTGTAAGGCTGCCCTCCGAAAGATCAGGGAAGGTCACCCCAAGGAGTGGGGGAGGGGGCGGAAGATGGATAAATATAGGTCAGGCTCACCTCCTACCTGAATGCGTCTGACGTCAGCAATGACCTTCTTCCTCCCTCCACCTTCCTGGCAACTGGTTTCTCTTGGCTCGCTCGGGCCTGGCTTGGAATGAAGAAAGGGGGAGGGATAAGAGAGAGGAGGTGGCATCCGGCCCACTGGCTTCTTTCTCCCCACTTTCAGCCCTTCCTCATTTTCCGTGGTACGGGAGAAAGCTCGGGACCGCCAGGACCCGCACACGCATACACACACACACACACACACACACACACACACACACACCTACCTCCATTCAAACGGCTCCTCTGTATCGCCTCCCTTCTGATTAGGCTGGGTGGGGGGTGCATGTTCAACAGTCCTTGGGCATCAGCCTTGGGAGCTGGGAGGAAGACCCGCGTGGTTTGTGCGGTGCTCTGGGCCCTGAAAGCGGGACGCTTGCCCCTGGTGTCCACCAGGTGGCAACATTGACCCAAAGGAAACTGAGCAGTAAGCCCTGCGGGGCACTCCCGGGTACTGGCCTCCGTCCAGACTCCTGGAGGTACTTGCCGGTTGTTGTCCAGCGTGCCCTCGGGTTTTACTCCTGTAGTGAAGAATATAAACAGGATTCTGAGGCGGAGCGCCTGGCTCCAGACAAGGGACTCTTTTTATTTCTCTTTTGATTTGGTGGGCCACACCCAGAGGTGCTTAGGGCTTGCTCCTGGCCCAGAGCTCAGGGCTCACTCCCGGCAGGGCTCAGGGGACCATATAGGGTGCCAGGGGTCAAACCCAGGTCAGCTGTGTGCAAGGCCAACACCTTACCTATTATCGTATCGCTCTGCTCCTTGGTCCGCAGGTTCTTAACTTTCTCACTATGATATCTCTAAGCTGCCACGTCCCAGCCAGGGGACTGCAGGCGTCCTCTTCCCACCTCTGATCGGTCTGTGAGGGTCAGCCAGTCTATCCCAAAAGCTTCAGCCCCAGACTCTCCTGGAACACTCGGAAGCAGCTAAGCCTGAAGCCGATCTTCAAATAGCTGGAAGGAAACTCAGAGGGCGTCTACCCTGCCTTCCTGCAGTCCTTAATGGGGGTGTAGGGACTGCATGGTGACAGACTGGCTTGCTTGAAGGCTGGAGGGAGTGGAGCCTGGACCCTAGCTGGGGGTGTTCGTGGACTGCTTCCCACTCAAGAATCTGAACCTAGGCCTCCCCATGCAGAGCCTGGGCTCAGCCCTGCAGCCATTGCCCTGAAATACTGGGCACTGCATATGGCTGTCCTCAAAACAGATGTTTACCAAATGAAGAAGAAACGTTTTTGTGTTTTTTTTCCACTTTTTGGGTCACACCCAGCGATGCACAGGGGTTATTCCTGGCTCTGCATTCAGGAATCACCCCTGGCGGTGCTCAGGGGACCATATGGGATGCTGGGAACCAAATCCGGGTCGACCGCGTGCAAGGCAAACGCCCTCCCCGCTGTGCTATTGCTCCAGCCCCAGAAGAAACGTTTTGAATATTAACCCCAAGTGTTTGAGGCTTCACCAGTGAGTCGCCCTTTTCCTCTCCCCAGAGAAGCTTACAGTGCTCTTAGGAGCACTCCTAATCCCTAATGGGTTTATCTCTAGCCTTTGTGTTTTATCTCTCATTCTGTTAGCTACTAAATTCCCCAAGTCAGGTTTGGTTACTCGTAAAGTCAAACCTTCTGACGACTCTGGATTACGTGTCTGTAGTGAATGACCTGCTTTTCTCTTTCCCTATAACCCCTATATTTGACTGTCAAGCAATGTTCTTTGCTTGAACACAGATCACAGATCACAGATCATCCTGTTATTCGTCGATTGCCTCGAGCAGGGCCCAGTAACGTCTCCTTCATCCTGGCCCTGAGATTATATTCAAGGCTCTTTAGGAGAATGAGACCCATCGTTGTTACTGGTATTTGGCATATTGGGTACACCACGGGGAGCTTGCCAGACTCTGCCGTGTGGGCAAGCTACATTCGGTAGCCTGCCAGTTTGTCAAAGTAGGAATGAGATGTCATAATAAGATTTGCGGCCGCGCGGTTCCGGGAGCTGGGTTTTATAGTCTCTTGAGTCTTGGCCGCTGATGGGATTACACGGCGCCAGGGGGCCAGTTGGTGGGTGTGACCCCCGCCTACTGGAATTTGGAGGATCTGGGTGGAGGATGCTCGACTCCAATCCGAGTAGGCTTGGAGATCTCGGCCCCGGAACCCACGTGGCTTTGTCCCTCTGCTGGTACCTTCAGGTGTGCGGAGAGTGGTCTCAGCATGGTGGTGGCTGGTTCTGGAGGTCTTCGGCTGCCGGGGCCCTGGTCAGGGCGGGGAGGAAAGCTCAACCCGCTCCCCTCCAAGGGGCCCCGGCGAGGAATAGCCAGGCGCGGGGGCAGGAGACTGCACTGTTCTCCCTCCGGGAGCTGGTTTTTATAGTCTCTGAGTCTTGGCCGCTGATGGGATTACACGGCGCCAGGAGGCCAGTTGGTGGGTGTGACCCCCGCCTACTGGGATTTGGAGGATCTGGGTGGAGGATGCTCGACTCCAATCCAGGTAGGCTCTTGAACACAGAAAGACCGTTAATGTTATGCTCCTAGTATCTGGGAGGTAACTGACTCTGAAAGATGTTTCCTCCTGGCCATCCGTCATAATTGCTTGACTCAGGCTTCAGTCACCATAGTTCCTGACACCCCAAAGACTTGAATCCCACTGAAGGATCTCTGGATGGACCTGGGACAAGCAGTAAGGCTACCCTGTCTTCTATATGGGACAGACTAGGGCTGGAGAAGATAGCACAGCGGGTAGGGCGTTTGCCTTGCACGCGGCCGACCCGGGGTTCGATTCCCAGCATTCCATATGGTCCCCTGGGCACCGTCAGGAGTAACTCCTGAGTGCAGAGCCAGGAGTAACCCCTGTGCATCGCCAGGTGTGACCCAAAAAGAAAAAAATATATATGGGACAGGCTAGAAATCGTAAAGCACAATCTTGATAGAAGCTGTAAAGACCTGAGAGACTGGGACCCATGGGGTAGGAAAAGCTAAACTTTTAACCTTTTAAACAGCAGGCTTTTAACCTAACCCCCAGAGACCAGAGAACTAAGTTTTGGAATCTATATTTCTTACTGTGTTTAATCCAAGTAACTTTAAATATTAATAAGAAGTAAACTAAATTGTCTAATACATACAATATGTACAAGCAGTTAGGGAAAGAGAAAACGAATATAGATGCTTGTTACTTCTTGGCGAACTTCTCAGTATAGTCTCAGACAAAGCACCTCCTTGAGTTAATCCCCCAAAAGAAGGGCCTCCATCAAAAGGCTTTACCTCTGGTAAATGAACCATCACACCTATGTGTAGTCCTGAACCTCAGACCCCCTCAAATGTTCTATAAGTATGCTATTTAGCTCTGAACTAAATGTCCATTGACCACCAAGTCCATGGTCCTCATTGGGCAGCAAAAGGTTGAGACCCATCCTGTGTGCAGGTGCCGGGCAGTCCCTCGTTGTCTTCCCACCAGGGAGGCCTGGGAAGTAGCTCGGCCACTGAACGAATGAGACCAAGGGAGCAACCCGACTCACTATTCTCCACAAAAACATGAAGAAAAAAAAAAAGTTACTGTTAACATTCAGGCTACCGAGAGTATCTCGCCCGCATGGCAAAACCTGGCAAGCTCGCCGTGACGGATTTGATATGCCAAACACAGTAACAACAAAGTCTCACGATGGAGACGTTACTGGGCCCGCTCGAGAAAATCGATGAACAACGGGAGGACAGTGACAGTGACAGTTACATTCCAGAGAAGAATAGAGGACAGGGAGGCGTAGAGAAAGAGGGGGCTCCTGGGAGTGGGAGAGGGTAGGAAAGGCCAAAACCTCTGTCTCAATTTTTGTTTTTAGACCACACCTGACTGTGCTCAGAGCTTACTCTGCCTCTGCACTCCGGGGTCACTCCTGGTGATCCTCGGGGGAGCTTTTATGGTGCTCTGGGTTGAATCCGGTCGACCACGGGCAAGGCCCTTGGCATGGGGTAAGCAGGAGGCTGAGACCCGTCCTGTGTGCAGGTGCCGGGCGGCCCCTTCCCCCTCTCGGCCTCAGTTCTTACCAGGCCCTGTGCTTCCCCGGGGTGGTCAGTTACCATCACAGCCTTTGAGGAAGATGGGAACAGTGCTCCCGTGTCTCAGACGTAAGGGACCCCTTGGGGAATTTTGAGGGGCTGCAGATAAGGGTTAAGACTGGGGACTCAAGTCGCCCATCAGAGGAGACTGTCCAGTATACAGCGCTCAGCTATGCCTGGAGCACTGGAGCACTGTCCTCCCCATTGTTCATCGATTTGCTCGAGCGGGCGCCAGTAACATCTCACAACAGATTGTGAGAGTTGTTGCTACTGTTTTTAGCATATCGAATACATCACGGGGAGCTTGCCAGGCTCTGCCGTGCGGGTGAGATACTCTCGGCAGCTTGCCGGGCTCTCTGAGAGGGGCGGAGGAATCGAACCCGGGTCGGCCATATCGGCCGCGTGCAAGGCAAACGCCTTACCCGCTGTGCTGTCACTCCAGCCAGAACTGTGCCTGGAGACAGAGACACAATATTCCCGAAGCAGCAACCTGGCTTGCTCTGCAGGGCTTTGGCGGGAGCCCAGGCTCCTTGGCGTGGGCAGTAGGTGGTTGAGAGACGCATCCTGTGTGCAGGCGCTGGGCAGCCCCTGTCTGTGCCCCCGTTGGGGACCACAGCAAACCAGGCCACTTTCTCACTCACCCGGCGGGACTCCAAGAAGCCGCTGTGGGCACAGCCTTGCAGGAGAACCAGAGCTACTGAGAGACCAGGGTGGGGACCTGGGGCCAAATTCTCGGCCTGTCCCTCCACCCACCGCTGGGAGGCCAGGATGCAGGTGTTTAGAGAGCAGGGCGGTGCTGCCCATTCTTCCAGAGGGGTGGGGGTTCTGGTTCTCTGAGAGTAACACCTGGGCTTGAAGTTTCCTGCTGGGACTCAAAGGTGGACCCTAAGTTTGGGGTTAGCATCCAAAGGCGGCTGGCCAGGCCCACATACTTTCCACCAAGCCCCCTGGCCCCAGGGCTTGCAAAGAGCCTTAAGTGGTTTCTGTGGTTTGGGGGTGGGAAGGAAGAGAAAGAGAAGTCCCCAGAGCCACCACCTCCGTCCTCTCCCCCTGCAAGGTGGTTCCCAGGCCTGGTGAGGGCTTGGGCGTCGCGCACAGAGGAGCCCTCTCCATCCTTATGCCTGCTGGCCTCTCCCCAGCTAGGGCGGCCAGCACAGCGAGGAGGAATGCCACCCTCTGCTGGGGATGGATCCCCAGAAGGGGCCAGGCTGCAGCCTTCGGAAGGCGGGGAGGCTGGAACATTCCCCTAAGGAGGACCCAGGAGGAGGGGCCCCGGCCACAGACCATGGGAACCATAGACACACACTCAGCCTGGGCACTGGGGTTGCCCCAGAGGGTCTGCTCTGGCACAGAGCCATAGTACAGTTGGGAGGGCTCTTGCCTTGCACACGGTGGACCCAGGCTTGATTCGTGGCACTGCATATGGTCCCCCGAGCCCGCCAGGAGTGATCCCTGAGCGCAGAGCCAGGAGTAAGCTCTGAGCACCCCTGCGTGTGGTCCAAACAAACAAACAAAAAGAACTTCCACTCCACCCGACCCAGGAGAAAGGAGTCGAGGCAGGGGTGAGCGAGGGAGGGATTACTGCTGCCTGTCCACGCCAGGTGCCATGTGTGTCAGCTGGGGGCACTGGGGGAGTCACGAGGCTGTGGTGTGGCTGACTCCTGCCTGCTGTTTACCAGCTGGGAGTGAGAGCGGAGGAGGGGCCAGCACCACTGCTGCCTGGGCCCCGGCCAGCTGGCCTCTCGAGCAAGCAGAGTGTCAGGCCCAGCTAATCAAACTCTGGGCTCGGGCTGTGCAGACGGAAGCCGGGAGAGCTGGCATCGGGGTCCTGTGCAGAGCACAGCCTCATTCAGGGGCTCCTCCTCGTCCTCCAGTGCAGGGCCCACCTCGCCCTGCCTCAGGGCCGCCTGCTGAGGCCCGGCCAGGAGGAGCAAGTCAGCAGCAGGAAGCAGAGGGGCCTGAGAAACAGCCGGGGCCGGGCTGCCAGGAGTCGACCTGGTGCTGGAGAAGAGGAGGCACGAAGGCCTCTCCCCTGCCCCTCCTGTCCTGTCCGCGGACCCCTGCACTGAGGGCCCAGGAGCGCTAGGCTCCCCTTCTGCTGCCCGATGGCCGGCCCTGCAGCTGGGCCTGCATATGTCTGAGCAGCTGACGGGTAAATCTGGAAGCATCACATCTGTCACAAGGCAGAGGCCGGGGAGTGAATACAATCACAGACCCAGAGGGCCGCGTGGGCAGTGGCTTAGCAGCGAAAGACCTGCCTTGCCCCGGAAGGCCTGGAGTTGGGTCCCGGCACTGCACAGCATCAACGAGTCAGTCCCGGACAGACAGACAGCCGGGAGGTTTCTGGCACTGGCCCGGCTACCGCAGGGAAGGGCCTCCCCGCTCCAGTCCTGTGCCCTCAAGACTCCCATCTCCTCCCTTCTGCCCTTGCCCTTGTCCCCTCCTAGTGCCAGCAAGCTCTGACAGCCACTCCTTTCCCCTGCCTGCTGGTGGCCAGGTGCTCCGTCCCTCCTCCTCCCCAGGGCCCTGCTCCCTGCCCTCCCGGGCCGCCGGGGCAGCCAGGACGGCACCCAGGGAGCTGCCCATGGACAGGGCCCCTCAGAGGCAGCGCCGAGCCTCGCAGGGTAAGAGCTCCAGCCCCGCAGGCAGGGGACAGGGTGGCGGGAGCTCCCGAGGACAGGAGGACAGGAGGAAGGCAGGGGGAGGGAGCCAGCTGGCTCGGAGAGGACTGGGAGGACAAGTCTTGCTAGAGGAGAAGCCAGGGGAGCTGCCAGAAGCGGGGAAGGAACCTTGTCAGAGGGAAGAGCTGGCAGGAGAGGCGGGCAAGAAGGGGCGGAGCGGACTGCGCCTGGAGGAGGGGACAGTCGCTTGCCTCTGCTGGACGCTGCTGCAGGGCTCTGTGGCCATCCCTCAGAACGGAGGAGCCTGACGGTTCCTCTGGAAGGGCCCTCTTTCTGCAGAGTGGGGCCTGGGCACCTGGCCCGGGGGCAGGGGGCGGTAGCAGGGGTGGGCTGGGCCCAGACCCTCCAATTGTGAGGCCAAGGGAGCAGGAGCCCAGTGAGTGAGAGTCGCCCACTCTGGGCCCCTGGCACAGGGAATGCCACCTTCTGGCCAGTCCGCAGGGCAGCACCCAGGCCGGCCTCCAGGTGCAGAGCCCATGGCCTGAGAGGCAGCACAGCAGAGAGGGCCACTGGGTGTGGAGGGGCGGGGTGGGGGTGTAAGTGGAGGGGCCAGGGGAGGCCACTCTGGGCAGTGACACCCCCCACACACACACACACAGCGCAAGGGGAGAGTGCATGTGTGTGCATATGTGTGAGTCAGACTATGTGACTGTGGGTGTGTCTGAGTGTGTGTCTGAGTGAGTGTGAAAGTGAGAGTGTGTGTGTGTGTGTGTGTGTGTCCGAGTGAGTGTATGTACGAGAATGAAAGGATGTGGGAGTGTGTGTTTGTGTGTGGGAGTGAGCATGGATGTGTGGGAGTGTGCGGATGTGTATGTGTGAGTGTGGAAAAGTGTGCTTATGAGTGTGGGAGAGTAAAGGAGTGTATGAGTGTGTGTTTGTGGAGGTGTGTGTGTGTGTGTGTATGTATGGGTATGTTTAATAGTGTGGGAAAGTGTGTGTGTATGAGTGTGAGTGTGTGTACGAGTGCGTACATAGGTGCACGTAAGAGTGTGGGGAAGACCATATGAGTATGGGTGTGTCTTAGTGTGAGTGTGATTGTTGAGGAGTGTATGAGAGTGTGTCCGCGTTTGAGAGTGTGTTGATGTGTTTGAATGTGTGTGAGTATAAGTTTGTGGGGCTGTGAGCGTCTGGGTGTGAGAGTGTGGTTGTATGGGAGTGTGTGATTGTGTATGGGTGTGTGTGTGTGTGAGTGTGCAGGTGTATGTGAGTGGCTGTGAGTGTGTGGGGGTGTATGATGTGATTGCGTAAGTGCCAAGTTGCAGGCGTGTGGTTATGATGGTGTGGGTGGGTGTGAGTATGTGAGTGGGTGTGAGTGTGTAGGTTGGATGTGTGTGGTTGTGTGGGTGGGTGTGAGTGAATGTGATTGTGAATGTGAATGTGCCGGTGTGTGGATGAGTGTGTGGATGTGTGTGTGTGTGTGTGTGTGTGTGTGTGCGCGTGGGCCCTGCCCCATGCCTGCCCACCTGCTCGGCACAGCTCTCCCCTCTCTGCGGGCTCCCTGCAGGGTGGGGGTGTCTCTGTGCAGCTGCGCCCCCTCCTCTTCCTTAGATGTCCCCTGCCGACCTCCCCCCACACACACTCACACACACGTGCACATGTACACACATACCCCACACACATACATACACACACACATGCACGCACACACACGCACGCACGCACACGCAGAGCTCTCTGGAGCCTGAGACTGCAGAAGTTCCCGGGAACAGCAGGTCAGGCTGGGTCCCTGCAGGGCACAGTTCACAGAAAGCGCTGCTGCTCCCCAGACAGTGACACAGTGACTCACGCCAGTTGGGAATCACAGGCATGGTGGCTGGGCGCTGGGCAGAGCAGAGGCTGCACGCCATGGGCATGGGGATGGGGGTCAGTGGCTGGGGCCGCCTCTCCCCCCGCCCCCACCTCCAGGCTCTGCTGGGGAGGGGTGGGCTGCCACTCGGGTGCTCCTGGCTGGCAGGGCAGCCCTTGGCCCTGACCTTCTCTTCTCTACAGAGCTGCTGGCCGCAAAGAAGACCCACACCTGTGAGTCGGGAGTGTGGGGGGACGAGGGTGGGCGCACAGGGGAAAGCTCAGAGGGGCAGAGCAGCCCCTGGGGGAGAACAGGAAGAAAGGGGCGGGCCGGAGAGAGAAGACGGCGGGGAGGGGTTTTGCCTCGCACACAGCCGACCCAGGTTCAAGCCCTGTCATCCCATGTGGTCCCCCGAGCCCACCAGGACCGATCCCCGAGCAGAGCCGGGGTAAGCCCTGAGCATCTCTGAGTGTACCCAACACACAGCAACAAAAAAAAAAAGAGTGGTGGGGGAGAAGGGCAAGGAAACCCCAGAGTGGAGGAATGCGGAGAGAGACGGAGGATGAGCGCAGCACCCCCTAGAGAAGCCAGAGACGTGAACCAGAGGGTCAGTGAGGGTGGGAGGCAGGGGTGGAGAGAGCAGCGCGGAGGGAAAGCCCGCAGACTGCTGGGCACGGGGGAGGGAGGGGGTGGGGTGGCCTCAGGGAGCCTGGCCCAGGCTTTGTGGTTCTTCTGTGTGGTTGACGCAGCCCGAGGTGTGAACAGCCCTGTGGCCAGCTGGACCGGGAGAGCGGAGCCCTGTCTGAGCAGGGGTCTCCACTCACGGGGACGTGCGCTGGCCAGAGTGCTAGGCGCTGCCCCCGCACCCCCAGGAGAGCTGCGGCCTTGAGGAAAAGAGGCCAGAGCTCTGAAAGGGCTTCCCAGGGGCTTAGGGAAGCCACTCGCCCCCGTGCAGTTCAACTGTGAGGGAGCCGATCCCCAGAAACAGAAGCCAAGCTGTTCCTAGCTGTTCCTTCCTGGCTGTCCGCACCAACAACCCACCGGCCGCCCGGCTGGCCACTCTGGAGAGAGGGCCCCAAATGGCCACGCAGATGCCTCTGTTCTTTTTTTTTTTTTTGGTCTTTGCTTGCTTGTTTGGGGGTCACGCCTGGCACTGTGCCAGGCTGCCTCCTTGCTCTGCTCGGGAATCACTCCTGGGGTGCTCAGGGCTGGCAGGGTCCGCAGCATGCCTGGCTCGAGTCCTCCACGCTGAGTTTCAGCTTGGGCCCACCACCCCAGGAGCAAGAAGGGCAGAAGCAGAGCCCCCTCCTTCCGGGCAGGGGGCCAGCCGAGAGGCCGCAGCCCCCGGGGTGGGGTGCTGTGCTCAGCACAATCCTGCCTGTTGTCTCTCTGACCTCCCCCCCAGCCACAGGCCCCGCGGAAATGCTGAGCGCGGCCCTGGAGAAAAGCGGGTCAGGGAGCGAGGTGCAGTGGGAGGGACCCTGGGACCTCCTGTGGGTGGGGGGAGCAGGGGGACTTTTGGGGCAGCCCAGGGAGCCCTCCGGGGCAGGGTGGCCTGAAATGGACTGCCCTCAGCAGCACCCCCGGCACAGCCAAGGAGCTCTAGAGAGGGGCCGGAGGGAGAGAGAGGACAGGTACTGAGGTGCTTGCCTCGCTCGCATCCGGCACCGGGTCCGAGCCCCACCGGCAGTGATCCGGAGTGCAGAGCCAGGAGTGAGCCCTGAGCATTCTGGCGTGCCCCCTCCCAAAAAACCAAAACCAAAACCAAAACCAAACCAAACAAAGGAGCTCTAGGAAGAAACTCCTGGGCTGGCTGAGCAGACTCGAATCCCAGAAGACCCCCCCCCAGCCCTCACGTGAGATCTGGGGGGCCAAAGTGCCCCGGCTGGCGTCCCGCTTCAGCCTTACTCCAGCTGTGTGGCCCTGGGGCAAGTTCCTGAACCTCTCTGTGCCTCGCTTGCCCCCTCTGAGACGCAGCGAGGAACAGTCCTTACCCAGCAGTGCTTCGTGGGCATCAGAATACACTAAGGCCATTTTAACGTGTAGCGGTGTGATGGCCACTCATGTCATATTGGCCGTTCGCAGTCCTGGGGCACTTCCTGGGTGGGTCCTGCTGTGTCTGATGCGAGCTCACGCCCAGGACTCGGGCTGTGTTTGTGGGACGTGGGTGCAGGGGGCCTGTGGCCCGTTGGCACCCGTGGGCCTGGCAGTCCTGGGAACGCACCCCACGATCCTCTCTGGAAACATCTGGGCTCTGGCCCGCCGAGGCCCGTGCTAGAGTCCGGGTGACAAGGGAGGGAGGAGCCGCCCCAGGCTCCCGCGAAGGCCACTCCTGCGCCCCAGCCAGAACTCCCCTGGCGGGTGCAAACAGCTTCGAAGGCCTGTGCTGTCACATGTGGTTTTGGAATTTTCCAACGCCCCCCTGTGACGAGCGGCCCAGCCCCTCACCCTCTGCCCAAGCCACGATTGGCCACTTGGGGCGCCTGTCATCCTGTCGCTGCACCCCAGGGGGTGGAGTTGGGGGGTGTCACTGGGACACCTGTGGAGGGCAGCACTTAAACCCCCTGCCCAGAGGACTGGGGAGCGCAAGGTGCACGCTGGGGACTGGGACGCCACAGAGAGGCTCAGCCTGCCCACGGCCACTGCCACCCGCACCCATCCCTGGACCAGCCGCCGTTGACAAGGACAGGGAGCAGCCGAGCCTGGCTCAGTCATGAGAAGTAAGTGACGGGCAGCTGGGGGCCTGGTGGCCCCGGGCCCCGTGGAGAGGCAGGAGGTCTCGGGACCGAGGGAGCGAAGATGAGAGCCCTTCCGGGTCAAAGGGAAGGTCAGCCAGGGGGCCGCGGGGTCCCACCCCCGCTTGGGATCAGCCTTGGGATCAGCGAGCTAGCGAGGGAGCTTCCTGTCCTGGGCTCTGAGCGGGTGCGGGCCCCGGGACCCTCTCGCCTCCCCAGTCCACAGAGAGAGGCTGAGGCTGGGGATGGACTGAATGCAGCCTCCCGGGCCAGTGGCCCTCAGCCCTCGGGAGTCGCCTGCCTCCTGCCTCCGCCCTGCCAGACGGGGGCTGGGAGAGGCCAGGGGAGCTGCCGGGCCCGGAAGCAGAAGGACACGGAGACTGGCTTGGCCCACCAGGCAGAGGGGACAGAACCCAGCACTTGGCCTCCATGCTTCCTGGCAAAGGCAGAGACCAGTGGAATCCATGGGATGCCACGTGTGTGCGTGTGTGTGTGTGTGTGTGTGTGTGTGTGTGTGTGTGTGTGTGTGTGTGTAGTGATTCCCCTGTCCCCTCACCCATTCCATGAGGGAAGTCAGGCACCAAAGAAGGGGACAGGGAACCTCTAGCATCAGTCCCCCCTCGGTTCAGCCAACAGCTGGTGGGCAGGTGTCTGGGGTCCCCGCACCTGAGCCCAGCGAGCGGCCAGAGCACCCCTGGGCGTCTGCGAGGGAAGCCAGAGGATCTTGGGCTGAAGAGGAAAAGGGAAGCTGCAGGCCCCTGTGGCCTGAGGTGTCCCAGCCCCAGCCTGGGGCCTTCCCACAGGCCACAGAAAGGAGGCCATAGAGGGCCCTGGAAAGACCCACCAGGTTCTGGTCACCCGGTCACTATCGCCTCCGGGACCCCATCAGAGTTGGGTCCCTTGCCCTGCAGAACCACAGGCGAATTGAAAGTGAAAACCAGCTCTAAAGGCTCCCGATTCCATGAGTCCAGGACCCAGGAGGGAACCCCAGTTCCTGCCAGGGTCCCCGACAGGCAAGGAAGCTCAGCTCGCCCGGGGGACAGATCTGGACGGTCCATCCACGGCAGGTCTGGACGGGGCTGGAGGAGCCCAGAGCTCAAGGCCGCCAGCCCTCAAGGCCTCAGCTGCCTCTCCCGACCTCCCTCCCGGGGCTTCTGGCCGACAGGCCTTCTAGAAACAGCCAACGGGCCGGGGAGGCCGTAACTGTGGGTGTGGCAGAGCCTGGCGACAGAGTGGAGGCCTGCTGCCAGCCCAGGGGACACCGAGGGCTCCAGCCGAACGTCCACCCCCAGCCACGATTCTTCCTGGCCAGCAGAGATGCCAGGGCAGCCTATGGGCATGGGCCCACGTTGTTTGCTGCATCCTGCTGCTCTGCCTCCCGGTGAGGACACAACATGGCAAACCCCCTGCCCAAGGCTGGGGTCACCCAGAGTCCCTGGGAACCAGCCCCAGAAACCAAGGCCCACTCACAGGCACAGCCCGGGAGCCGCGCCCTGGCAAGGGCAGGAGGAGAGAGAGCGAGAGGAATGTGGGGGGCGGAGGCCAACTCAGGCCCAGAGCACTGTGAAGGCCCCCAGCAGAACCGGGGTGCAGAGAGGGGGCGCAGGGAGGCAGACGGGAGGGCTCGGCAGGGGCTCACGGCGATGGAGGTTTGGAAGGTGGGCATAGCTCCCCACCTTGGGGTGCTCGAGCGACAGAAGCTCCCACTGCCAGGCTGACTCAGCAGCTGCCAGCAAAGAAGGCCAGGGCAGGGCCGCTGGGCACCGGGGCTGGCATGGCACTGGACAGGGAGGCGGGGGGCGGAGGGCACAGACATCGGGGTTGTACCAGGGCCCGCACTTCCTCCCACCCCGTTCCTCCTCGCCCCTCCCCTGCACCTCTCCTCCCCCAGGGGGACCCCCAACACCCCCTCCTTGTGCCATTCGAAGCACCCCTCTCTGGTCCCCTCCCCTGAGCTGTGCCCTGGCCCAAACGGGGAGCCCAGACTTGCCCCTCTGAACACCCTCCTGGGCACGGGGGCCCTGGCAGTGCCCCTTTTCTGAGTGCGGACCTCCAGGATTCGCGTGGGCATGATGAACTCGGAAAGGAGAGGGGTCTGCTTCCGAGACCTGAGGGGGACAGAGGGCTGGGGGGGACCCAGGGCCAGACTGGCCCGGGGAACAGACGCCCGCTGCAAGCCGCAAGCCGCAGCTGGCAGGCTGAGTCTCTGACTTTCAGGGGTTCACCCCTCACGCCTCCTCCCATGATTCATCTCCTGTCCCTTCTGGGCTGTTTTCACCCAATTTTGTTGTTCCCTTCCCTCTGAAGCCCCAGACTGCGGGGGTGGCGGGAGCGTCGGGCAGTGTAGGTGACTGGCTTTCTTGGGTGCCTTTCAAGCCCAAGCCTCCCGCGCCCACCTGAGTTTAACTCCTCTTTTTCTCAGCCCTGGGCTCTGAGTGTCTCAGCAAAAAACAGCGGCCCGCTCTGGAAGGGGGGCCCCCAGGCCGACAGGGCTTCTCCCCGGCCCTCAGGTCCCTGCCCGCTGCCCTGGGCGGGCAGCCCACTGTGGTCTCCAGGTTTGCAGAAGCTGCGGGAACAGGAGCTGAGGAAGGAGGGAGGCGGGGGACAGGCAGGGACACCGGGACCCCCGGCCAGGCTGTGGTCTCTGTGGGGGGAAGGACTGAGACTTGGAGCTGTGGTGAGGGGCCCCGAGCTAAGAAAAGAGACACATGTCTCGCTGCCTCCCTCCCCTCCTGGGGACCAGGCTGTGGCCCCAGGATGGCCTGGTCCCTTCCCGGGGACCTTAGAAACCTGATGCTGACTCCAGAGGTGGGTCCCCAGGGACCGCCTCTCCCATCTCTGCACTCGGCCTGCGTGATTCCAGGGTGCCCCCGAATCCCCTCCCTAGGAAAGGGCCCCCCACTTTATGTTTCTCTGTTCCTGCCTCCACTCTCTGCCATGCATCTGTTTTGTTACGTTCAGGAGCTGCACCTGGCAGTGCTGAGGGCTGACTCCTGGCTCTGTGCTCAGGGATCACTTCTGGAGGGCTCAGGGACCACACAGGAAGAGCTCCGGTCAGTCACATGCCAGGCCAGTGTCCTCCCACTGCCCCAGGCCCCCAGACTCTCCTTGCAGCTGCATTTGGGTTTTTGTTTTGTTTTTTTTTTTTTTTTTGGGTCACACCCGGCAATGCACAGGGGTTCCTCCTGGCTCTGCGCTCAGGAATTACCCCTGGCGGTGCTCAGGGGACCATACGGGACCATATGGGAATTGAACCCGGGTCGGCCGCGTGCAAGACAAACGCCCTACCCGCTGTGCTATCGCTCCAGCCCCTGCAGCTGCATTTGGACAGCTCTGCCATACAGGGGCCGAACTCAGCAGAGAAGGAAGGGCATCGGCCCTCGGGCTCTGGAGACGGTTGTTCCAGGGGCAGGCGGGTAGCCCTGGCCGAGTAACCTTGGTCACCACACTGCTTGTCCTGCCTGGCTCTGTCAGCTCCCCTGCCACATGCCGGCCACGCTCAGAGAGCACTTCCTCTCGAGGCTCCGAATGGAGCCAACTCTGGGGAGAGAACTCCGAGCCCCTAGGAGCGCCCTGGAGAGAGGGCAGGAAGAAGGCGAGGTGGAGCTGAGGGGAAGTGAGGGCTCCTCTGTCAGGAACCCACCTCACTGGTGCAGGGGGGTGAAGAGACACACACCCCCACCCCCCCGGAGTTGCTCTACCACTTCCGCTCTGTGGCATAGGGCACCTGGACGGGGCCCAGGGCTGCCTTCCTAAGGTGGCCCGGGGCCAAGCCTGGAGGCATTCACAGAACACTATCAATGAATCTCACAGCTGCAGCATGCCACAGGACCCCACGTGCGCACACACACACACACACACACACACACACACACACACACACACACACACTCCTCTCTACCGCATTTCCCCACATAGGAAAGCCTTCCTGGCATGCCTTCCTGGCATGCCGGGCAGAGAGAAGGATGAGCAGGGGAGTGTGGAGGCCCCTCCAGCCCCCAGGAGGAGCAACAGGCACTCCTGGAAGTGCCCCTGGGCCTGCTCTGATGTCCCTCACGGGGGAGATCCCAAGAGGGCCTGGCTGCGAGGACCGGGGGCAGAGCCAACCTGGTCTTGGCCGTTTCGAGAGACGGCCGTGCTCCGTGCTCCAGGCTGTCCTCTCTCCTTGAGGAAGCAGCTGGGACCAGAGTCTCCTCCAGCCACCCCAGGGCTGGGAGGGACAGTCACAAGAGCGAGAGCAAGGCTGTCTCTGTCCCCAGCAGGTGAGGTGAGGGTGGGAGCCCCAGAGGCTGTCTCGCCCAGGGCTTCCTGACATTTGCTTGGTGCGAGTTCCTGGCACCGCAGGCCCGAGGCTGCTGGGTTCCTGGCAGGCCCGACTCCAGGGCCACATTTGAGTAATCCTGCGATTACTCAGCTCCTCCTCCCCACCCCGGTTCCCACCAGCCACTGCCTCCAGGTCCCAGGAGCCTTCTAAGCGGAAGACTGCCTCCCTCGGCCCGGCCACCACCGCGCTTTCAGCTGCTGCCGCCACCTCACCCTTCCCGTTCCCTGCCCCGCCCCTCCCCCCGCCCCAAGTCGTGAGCCAGCTTGCCAGAACTTTCTCTTTGAGGTTCTGGGTAGAGGGCAGAGAAGGAGGTACAGATGGCAGGGGAGGACAGGAGGGTTTGAAGGTCCCGACACAGCTAGGTGCGACCTGTGGCCAGGCCAGGAAGGGACCTGTTGCCGAGAATATCCTTGGCTGCCGGGTGACACCTGTCTGTTTTCTCCTGGTCCTCAGCCCTCTTGGTTCCGCTGACTCAGAAGCTGGGTTCAATCCCCAACACCCCTTGCGACGCCCTGAGCCAGCCAGGTGTGTCGTTAGGGGTAAGCCCAGAGCATACCGGGTGTGACCCCCGAACCCAGGCAGAGCATAAACCCGGAGGTTGAACGCTCTGGCCTCCAGCCTGCAGCCCCCGGATGGCCCGAGGGCACTGTCTCCTGATGCTTCTCTGGCTTCAGGGGCCAGGGAGGCGTGGGCCGAGGCCTGGGTCCAGTGCACCGATGTCAGGCCCTTGCGGAGGCCACCACGGGGGCCCCGAGTCAGGAGGGAGGGGTTGGGCCGGTGTGTGGACGTGTGCACGCACGCGGATGTGGCCCTCCGAGATGGGAAGAGGCGGGAGGAGCCTGTGGTTGCTGCTGGCCGGAGTCTGGGTTCCCGCTGTGGCTTGGCCTAGTCTCCCTTCCCTGGCTTCTTTCCTGGGGGGTGACCCAGGTTGGTTTCTCCCTTCTCTGTTCCACGGGAAGAGAGGCCACCCAGGGCTGGAGGGGGAGAAGGAGGGAGAGAGAGTCCGAAGAGTCCCAGCGCTCCCACTGACGTTCCCGGGCAGCGAGGAGTGAGTGGCCTCACCCCTCCCGCCCCAGGCGGACACAGGCCAGGATGCTCCTGGGCAAGCATCGCTGTGGACAGGCCACGCTGCCTTCACGCCCCCGACGCCACTGGCAAGAACACAGAGGCCTGAAGAGCACGGGACCAGACCCACAGCACAGCAGGGAGGGTCTTGCTCCCACACGCCCGACACAGGCCCAGTTCCAGGCGCCCCATATGGTCTCCCGAGCCCACGAGACGTGATCCCTGAGTGCAGAGTCGGGAGGAAGTCATGGGCACCCCCAGGTGTGCCCCCAAATCAAAAGATACAAAGGCTGAGATGGCGCAGGGTGTCCCTCCCAGCACGCTCTGTCCCTCCCCTGGAGCCCAGAGACCCTGGGTTTTTGCTTCCCTGCCAGACTTTCTTCTCTTCCTTTCTTCCCCATTTACAAGCAGACTCTGAGAAGCTCTGGGAGTCCATCCTGCAGGCCGGTAGGACAGAGTCTGACGGGGGCTTCCGGGGAGCGGCTAATCAGCTCGGAAGGAACCCAGGCAGCCTGAGGGGTGACGGTTTCAAGACAGAGAACTGAGGGAGCAGTGGGCAAGGAAGGCTATGCAGAACCCCTGTGAGACCAGGGTTCGAGCCCGGGGCTGAGGGCGGCTTGCAGGAGAGAGACCTGCCCACACAGGCCGCTGCTGCTTTCTCTGGCACGGGGAGCGGGGAGGGGGGTCGGGGGCCTCCTCTCCTACTGAAGCCACTCAGAGCCTCAGAGGGGCAGAGACGAGATGGCTACACATCCTGACAGAAGCCAGAGACGGCCTTGGGCCTCCAGAATCGGGAAAACGGGGACAGGTTCCCGGGGAGGGAACCTGAAAGGAACCCACTAACATCAGCTCTGGGGCTCCCGTTCAGGCGCCAGCGTGAGGCGCTGGTCCCTAGCGTTGGCACCCGGGGCTGGGCTTGTGGTCACCCACACCCACACTGGCACGCACCCACCACCCACACCACTGCGTCACACAGACCCCCTCTCTGGCAGCTGGCAGCTCCCTGGCACCCCACTCCCCAGCCCTGTCCCGGCTCCTGCCCGGTCTCTCTACACCCTGCCCCGGGCCCTGGTCTCTGCTTCCGGCCCTCCCCATGGCCACCTGCTGGGGGTCCACAGCTTCCCACTGGGCCCCCGAAGTCAGTGGAGGGTGGGGGAGGGGCAGAGGAAGCCCAGCGGGAAGCAGGTGTGTGAAGAAAGGGGCTCCCCGAGACTGCAGCTTTTCAAGTTGAAGGACTGAGCAGGTGGGTTCCTGCAGCTGCCTGGGCAGTCGCGCCCCCTCCCCCCAACCCCTCAAGGAAATGGCCCCCACGCCCCCTTAGCCGAGCCACACTGGGCACTTGCCACCTCTCACCGTGAGAGACAGAACCAGCAACAGGGCAGGGCGTGTCCTGCACCTGCACACCGGGGGCACCGGGCAGGGCCCCGAGCCACAGACCTGACTCCTGCTCCTGCTGTCTTCCAGCCCAAATCGAAGTGATTCCGTGCAAAATCTGCGGAGACAAGTCGTCTGGGATCCACTACGGGGTTATCACCTGTGAAGGGTGCAAGGTACGCTCTGTGTGGATGGATGCACCCACATGCACACACGTGTGAAGTCGGGGCTGCCACGGTCTGGGCTCTGAAGGCCTCGAACCCATGTGGTGTGTGTGTGTGTGTGTGTGTGTGTGTGTGTGTGTGTGTGTGTGTGTTGCTGAGTGTGTGCGTTGCTGGGCGTGGTTGCTATCACATCATGGTGAAACCAGGAGCTCTGACAAGGCTGGCCAAGGGGCAGGTGGAGGGGCCTCAGCCTGGCTCGGGGCAGTGAGTGTCCCTGCCCCCAGGGCTTCTTCCGCCGGAGCCAGCACTGCAACGTGGCCTACGCCTGCACGCGCCAGCAGAACTGCCCGATCGACCGCACCAGCCGCAACCGCTGCCAGCACTGCCGCCTGCAGAAATGCCTGGCGCTGGGCATGTCCCGGGACGGTGAGGCCACGCCAGGCCATGCAGCTACTCGCTCTGACAGCCTCGCTCGCGGGGTGGGGGTGGGCTCTCTGGACTCTGCCCGCCTGTCTCTCCCTGTGACCCCTGCGGAGCGAGGCTGGCCCTGGAGGATGGGGAGACTCGCGGCCTCCCCTGCCCCCACGCTCACTCCGTGACCCCCCTCCCCACCACAGGGGGGGCGGCACTGGGAAGGCATGAGGGGAGCCGGAATGGCCCGTCAGCACTTTTCAGTGCCCAAAAATAACAGAGTGAAAGGAAACACGCAGGGGCTGTGCCCCCACACCTGGGGGGGGTGGGGCGGGGAGGGAAAAGGCAGGAAAGAGCAGAAGAGGATGTTCAGGGCCGTGGTGGAGCAGGGCTGGGCTGTGGTGAGTATCTAGGTCACCAGGGAGCCAGCAGGCCTGACCACAGGGAGCCCATGTGCTCCGCGTCCCTCTTCCTCCGGCCGTCCCAGGCAGCCCAGGTGACCCCAATACCTCTGGGGGCTCCCTACCAGCCCAACCCCGCCCCGGCTGGTTCCCTCTGTGCACGGAGGCTTTGCTGGGGGTACGAGAATGAGAAAGGGGAGGGGTCTGCAGCCAAGGTCCCCCTGGGTCCCTGGGGGCAGGGCTGATGACTCACTGTCCCCCCTGCCTGCCCCGTGTCCCCTACCCCTCTGGCAGCCGTCAAGTTCGGCCGCATGTCCAAGAAGCAAAGGGACAGTCTACACGCCGAGGTGCAGAAGCAGCTCCAGCAGCAGCAAGTGACCAAAGCGCCGGCCACCCCTGGCCAGGGGGACGCCCCAGTGGTGCCCTGCGCCCTGGAGGGCGCCCCCCACGGCCAGCCACGCCTGGGCTGCTCCCCTGACCTGCCCGAGGCCTCTGCCTGTCCCCCGGGCCTCCTGCGAGCACCAGGCCCCGGAGCCCCCTACACGCACTGCCTGGTCAAGGCGGGGCTGGGCGGAGTCCCCTTCCAGCTGGAGTCCAGCCCGGAGCGTGGCAAGGCCGAGGCCAGGGAGGGCCCGTACGGGGCGGCCGGCCAGCTGCCCTTCGAGGTGCCCGGGCAGCCCGGCCGCGCCCCCGAGACCTGCTGCAGTGGCCCAGAGGCGCCCTACGCGTCGCTGACCGAGATCGGTGAGTGGGGGGCGCGCGGAGGGGCCGGGGCCGGCCGAGCCCATGGGGTGGACAGGTGCGTGGCGGGGGCCACAGGGGCGGGTGGCCTCGCGGGACCTTGCCCTGCTGTCCGTCCCCCGCGCAGAGCACCTGGTGCAGAACGTCTGCAAGTCCTACCGGGACACATGCCAGCTGCGCCTGGAGGACCTGCTGCGCCAGCGGCCCAACCTCTTCTCCAGGGAGGAGGTGGCCGGGTACCAGAGGCAGGTGAGGGAGAGGGGGCCCAGGAGGACCAGCTGCGCCCCCAGGCGGGCAGGAGCAGGGACGCAGGGAGGCAGGGTCCGCGGCCACTTCGGAGTCCAGACTGGGGGGCGACTTGGTCCTAGAGGGGCATAGGAGCATCCTCCGCCTCCCCCAACCCTTGTTCCGGAGTCCTCCTCCTCCTCCTGTCCCTCCTCCCCAACCCGTGTCCTCCTCCATCTCCTTCTCCCCTCCCCTCCTCCCTTCTACTTCTCCGCTCCTCCTCCTGCTCCCGTCCTCCTCCTATTCCTCCCCTCGACCTTCCTCATTCAGCTTTCCCTACCTACCTTCCCTTCTTCTCCTCCTGCCTCTTCTTCCCTCACCTCCTCCCCCTTCTCCTCTTCCCCCTCCTCCTTCAGCTCCTCTTCCCCTTCCTCCAGGCGCTGTGCTAAATTGTGCTGAATGTTTTACTTCAATCATCCTTCACCCTTAGGACAAGTGCCCTGATTGCTTCTAATTCTCCTGAGCAGAAACACGGAGCTGGGTGGTCCACGGGCTCCCGGCGTCTGTCTTTTGGCCCGACGTGCTCCCACAAAGGCACGCTTGGCTTTGACCCTTTCCACCTGTAGGCTGGGGAGACTTCTTGGCAAGGATGGGGGACTGGTGGAAAGCACTTCACCGAAGCACAAACTTTTTTTTTTTTTTTACCACACCGGGCTGTGCTCAGGGTTTGCTCCTGGCTCTGTGCTCAAGGATCACTCCTGGCAGGGCTCAGGGGATCATATGGGATGGAACCTGGATGGACCATGTGCAAGGCAAACGTCCTACCTGCTGTCCTGTGTCTCTGGCCCCAGATGCAAACATTTTGAGGACAGAGTGACCCTCAGATGAGTTTCATTCTCCAGCACTCTGCCCCCACATACCAAACAGCTCACTTAGCACCAGCCACTGGTGAGTGCTCAGTTAGGTACGAGCAGATGTCAGGAGCTGAAGTTGACTGTGCATTTGCACTAAAATCTGATGAGAGAGAGAGAGAGAGAGAGAGAGAGAGAGAGAGAGAGAGAGAGAGAACATGTTTTGCATGTCAAGGCCCAGGCCCAGGTTCAATTCCTGGTACTCTAGTCCCTCGAGCACTGCTAGGAGTGATCACTGAGCACTGGCGTGGGAGTAAGCTTGCCTTAAGTGCACCCAACTCGGGTTTGATCCCTGGGGTCCCATATGGTCTCCCGAGTGCTGGGGAGTAATTCCTGAGTACAGAGCCGGGGGTGATTCCTGGGCATCTCCAGGTGGGACCCCAAAACCACCAAAACAAACACAGGCCCAGGCCCCAGTCTGCCTGGCATCCGGCTTTGCCCTGAAGCTCAGCCCCGCGCTTGCTCCCGCAGTCCATGTGGGAGATGTGGGAACGTTGTGCCCACCGGCTCACGGAGGCCATCCAGTACGTGGTGGAGTTTGCCAAGAGGCTCGCGGGCTTCATGGAGCTCTGCCAGAACGACCAGATCGTGCTGCTCAAAGCAGGTGCCTGGTGGGCCGGAGGGTGAACGGGGCAGGGCTGAGCCACAGGGGGGAGCTGGCAGACCCCAGGACCCCACTGGCCACCTCCTTTCCCCTCCCCAGGAGCCATGGAAGTGGTGCTGGTGAGAATGAGCCGCGCCTACAACGCCGACAACCACACGGTCTTTTTTGAAGGCAAATACGGTGGCATGGAGCTGTTTCGAGCCTTGGGTGAGGGCTGGGGGTGAGAGAGGAGGCGTGAGCCCCTCCCAAGCACCCTCTGTCCAAGCGGAGCATCCCCAGACTGAGTCGGAGGGTGGGTGTCGGCCCCCTGCCGCCACTCAGCCCCTTCCTACTCCGTCAGGCTGCTGCGAGCTGGTCAGCTCCATATTTGACTTCTCGCAGTCCCTGAGCGCCATCCACTTCTCCGAGGATGAGATCGCCCTCTACACCGCGCTGGTTCTCATCAATGCCAGTGAGTGCCCGGGGGAAGGCCACGGGGAGCCAGGGAGGAGCTGGGGAATCGGGAGCAGCAGCTTGAGAGATTACTTTGAAGAAGGCCCAGAGAGGTAATGCGGGGACAAGGCATTTGTCTTATAAACAGCCAACCCAGATCCGATCGCTTCCACCCCGTACACGGCCCAAGAAGCCCTCCGGGACTGATCCCTGAGCACAGAGCCAGGAGTAAGCCCTGAGCACCACTGGGCGTGGCCTCCTAGCGCACATACCCAGGAGAGCACAATGAACCCCAGACACACGCCACACAACCAATACTGCTCTAAGATGGAACTAAACAGAGGTCCAGGAACCCCCGAGGAAGGGAAAAGGATGTGTGGACGCTGTGTGTGTTTGGGGGTGGGGGGTGGGAAGGGGACCTGCAGCTTGGGATTGAGAATATGACACAGGGTGCACGTCGGAAGCGTTCCCTAAGCTCGTCAGCCGGGCCCTGCGCCCACTCAGACGTCACCCTCCTGAGCCCTTTGCAGGCGGCTGCACAGGCTGTCCCGGCCGAGTGGGCACCGCCGCAGCCCATGAGAAGATCCAGAGAGGGTCCAAGCGACAGCACGCTAGTTAAGACACTGCATGCGCTCAAAACCAGTTCCATCCCGGACACGCCATACTGCCCCCTGAGCGCCTCGAGGAGTGATCTGAGTGCAGAGACAGGACTAAGCTGGAGCACCACCCAGCGCGGCCCAAAAGCAAACACACAAATTATAAGGTCCAAAGCTGGTCCTTAGCACCCCTGTCCCAGCTGCAAGTCCCGGACAGAGTCTGAATCTGCAGGTCCTGGGGACTGTCCTCTGGCTCTGTCTGAGCAGAAGCCTAAACATGTCCCTTGAACAATCAAAAGTGACTTCAGGCAAATCCAGGGGGCCTGACACGTGGTAGTCTCTGTGTTGGTGTCCTCAGCTGCAGAGAGCCCTGGGGCTGTATTCGGACACCTCCCTGAGGCCACTCCTGGAGGTTCCCCTGCGCTGCCAGGGACACCTGATTCTTTTCCCAGTCTTCTCCTTTGGGAAGGATTCCTCGTGTCTAGACCTGAATAGGCTGTGCAAAATACCAAGGTACCAGGGAGAGGGCAGGATGGACTTGAGGGATTGGAAGGGATGAGCCTTTTCCTCCTTCCCTACTTTGTGTACAGTCAATCAACTTCAAGATTCCCAAGAATCTGCTGCCACCAAACCAAGATACACACACACACACACACACACACACACACACACACACTCACACACACACACGCTTTTGGCAAAAGTTAATGTCCTCTTCCTTTCCTTCCTTCCTTCCTTCCTTCCTTCCTTCCTTCCTTCTTTTCTTCCTTCCTTCTTTCCTTCCTTCCTTCTTTTCTTCCTTCCTTCTTTCCTTCCTTCCTTCTTTCCTTCCTTCTTCTTTCCTTCCTTCCTTCCTTCTTTTCTTCCTTCCTTCTTTCCTTCCTTCCTTCTTTTCTTCCTTCCTTCTTTCCTTCCTTCTTCTTTCCTTCCTTCCTTCCTTCCTTCTTCTTTCCTTCCTTCCTTCCTTCTTTCCTTTCTTCCTTCCTTCTTTTCTTCCTTCCTTCTCTTCTTCCTTCCTTCTTTCCTTCCTTCTTCTTTCCTTCCTTCCTTCCTTCCTTCTTCTTTCCTTCCTTCCTTCCTTCTTTCCTTTCTTCCTTCCTTCTTTTCTTCCTTCCTTCTCTTCTTCCTTCCTTCTTTTCTTCCTTCCTTCTTTCCTTCCTTCGTTCTTTCCTTCCTTCTTCTTTCCTTCCTTCCTTCCTTCTTTCCTTCCTTCTTTCCTTTCTTCCTTCCTTCTTTTCTTCCTTCCTTCTTTCCTTCCTTCTTCTTGCCTTCCTTCCTTCCTTCTTTTCTTCCTTCCTTCCTTCTTTTCTTCCTTCCTTCTTTCCTTTCTTCCTTCCTTCCTTCTTTCCTTCCTTCCTTCCTTCTTTCCTTTCTTCCTTCCTTCCTTCCTTCCTTCCTTCCTTCTTTCCTTTCTTCCTTCCTTCCTTCTTTCCTTCCTTCTTTCCTTCCTTCCTTCCTTCCTTCCTTCCTTCCTTCCTTCCTTCCTTCCTCTGTTTCTCTCTTGGTTTGGGGGCCACACCCTGTAGTGCTCAGGGCTTACTCCTGGCTTCTGTGCCCAGGGATCACTCCTGGGAATGCTTAGAAGACCATATGTGGTGCCAGGGATAGAACCAAGATCTTGCTGTGTGCAAGGCAAGGGCCTTAACCCCTGTCTCATCTCTTTGGCCCCTGTCGTTCTTTCTCATTTCAAAATGATCCCAGACCGCCCAGGGCTCCAGGAGAAGAGCAAAGTGGAACAGCTACAGTACAACCTGGAGCTGGCCTTTCACCATCATCTCTGCAAGACGCATCGTCAGGGGATCCTGGCAAAGGTAGGTCCAGTGGCAGGGTGGGAGAGATCAGGTTCCCTGCCAGATCTGGGAACCCAGGGCTTGTGCCGTCTGGGGTCTGAGGGTGCCCGAGGAAGACTTTGTAGACCGTGCCGGCCAGCTTGCAACAGCAGTGGGAAGTGAGGGAACAATCAGTCATTTCCATGTGCATGGAGATGGAAATCGAGGGAGCCTGGAATTGGGCAGAACCTCCAGGGAGCGATTCAGTTTAATATAGCCAACGCTTACCAGGCACCTGCTAGCACCGACTGTGGGAATGGAAAGATACAGAGATGCAGTCCTTGCCCACACCAAGTTTTGTTTTGTCTTGTTTGAATCTGGTAGGAATGAGAGACTTGTGTTCCAATAACTCTATTACAGAGTGGGCTGTGTCATGCGATCTAATATTAATGCAATTAGCAAAGTGCTCTCGGGGCCCGGGAGCTGGCACAAAGGGCTGGAGCACGGACTCTGCGTGAGGGAGTCCTGAGTTCACTCTCCAGTAGGACAGGGTCCCCCAAGCTAACAAACAAGGGGTCTTCATAAACAGGCTCTGATCTTCAGGGCGACCCATGAGCAGGACAGACATCATGTCCCTGTAACTGCAAAGTAACTTAAATGCCTTGTCCAAGTTGATGTGATCCTGGCGTAATAATAAATGCAAGATTTAATCATAGTTGCACCGTATACCTGTGCCCAGAATATATAATATACAAACATGTGACACATCTTAGTGGACCTAACGAAGACATCGTTATCTCAGCACCCACATATGTATCTAACTCTGATTACAGATATTGGGGAAATATGACGAGCACATAGGGCGGGTTTTAAGAATAATTCGGAGGTAAGAGAAGTGGATCGCAAACATTTCCTAAATGTGGCCTTGGAAGCTGTGGCCCATGCCAGGTTCCTAGCAGTGACCTGGGGTGAGGCGGGCGTTCGGGGCTGAGGAACAGAGCGCAGGGCTGAAGTGGTGAAAATGTGGAGCAGAGCGAAGGGGCCGCTGGGCCGCAGCGTTAGCCAGCAGCAGGGTGAGCTCGAGGGCGCCGAGGAAAAGCCCAGGACAAGCTTGGAAATGAGGTCAGGCAGCAAACTAGAGAGGAATTTCAATGTCATATTAAAGAGTTAAGGCTTTATTTTTAAGCAACGACAAGCCCCAAAGGCCCAAGGAGTGATATCATAAGAGCTATTACACGAGGCAATTAAATTTGGTAGCAGGGTAAAGGAACCTTTTATGTAATCGTTCAAGCAGTGGGTTCTTGCTAGGTGTTCAGGATAGAGAAACTACTTAAACCTCCGTCTCCACCACAAAGAGCTGCAGGCCTGGCGAGACCCTAGGATTGACTTGGGAGAGCAGCTAGCCAGCCAACGTGGCTGGATGGACAGGTCTCACAATACCTCTCCTACCCTAGCGGGCAGTCCTCACCTGGACTCGTGGAGAGCCTCCCACTCCGGCCCGGCTTGTCTGTGCAGTCAGACCTGGGGTGTGGACCTCGGTCTTGATGCCCTCCCCCTACCCCCACCTCCTTCTCCCTCCTCTCCTTCCAAGCTCTCAGCCACATGGGCTGGCACTTCTGCCCTCTTTGGTACCTTCTGTTGCAGCTCTCTGGAAAGTTCTTCTCATTTGTCGCACTGGCTCTTCATTCTGGAGTGGGTTTTCCTGACCACCCAGAGGCAAAAGAAAAAAAACAAACAAAATACCCCGACCTCTCGATCCCTCACCTTGATTGATATTTTTTAAAACTTTCGGGCTGGAGAGATAGCACAGCGGGTCGGGCGTTTGCCTTGCACGCGGCTGACCCGGGTTCGATTCCCAGCATCCCATATGGTCCCCTGAGCACCGCCAGGAGTAACTCCTGAGTGCAGAGCCAGGAGTAACCCCTGTGCATCGCCGCGTGTGACCCAAAAAGAAAAAGAAAAAAACTTTCTCTGATAGAATCCGTTTTCTTTCCTGACTCCTCACTAGATTGGCAATGTATTCAATGTAGAGACTTGATCTTCTTCAACAGAGTCTATCACAGGGGCTCGCCAAATCGTAGATATTTATGGAATAAATGCAGAACTGAATGAATAAATGAATGCGAGACAGTAGCCCCAATTTCCAGTAATGCATGAGGAATGGTAAGAAGACACATTCAAGATGTGCCATCTTACCATTGGATAAGATTGGTGATACCAAGGATCGACCCAATGCTGCCCACTCCTCCCTGGTGACCCCTTGCCCTAGTCCAGGAGAAGTTCAGTGGTGGCTGGTCCTTTCATTCATTGGCTTGTTTTTTGCACCTCATCCAGAAGTACTCAGAGTTTACTCCTGGGATCACGGAGTTTACTCTGTGCTCAGGGATCACTCTTGACAGGCTTAAGGAACCATATGGGGTGATGTGGATTGAACTGGGGTCGGCCGAATGCAAGGTCAGCGCCCTACCCACTGTGCTATCTTTCCAGTTCAGGGCTGGTCCTTCTAAAGGAGTTTTCTTGGCTAGACCAGAAATGCCAAGAAGAGAATGAACAGTTCTATAGGTTTTCTCGTGTGAGGTGGGCCTGCCTGTCTCCTTTGGATCTCTCCGCATTTTTTCCATTCTTGCTTGACAGAGAGAAGGTGGGGTGGGTTTACTTGCAGTGGCAGATACTGAAGTTTGAAACTGTGTAGTTGAACATTTGCCGGGTGCCAAGTATTATGGTGGGGCGTGGGGAGGAGGAGCGAGAGAGAGAAACTAGGGAGGTAAAGCAACTGAATTGGGAATGTTTCCAAAAATGGAATTTAAGTGCTTCAACAAGGGAAGCCCCTTCGGGGAGGAAGGAGTTAAATAAATATTCCCAGAGGAGGAGGAGAGGCTAGAGTGATAGTACAGTGGGTAAGGCGTTTGCCTTGCATCTACTTGACCTGGCTTTGATCTCCATCATCCCATATGGGTCCCCCAAGCACCGCCAGGAGTAAGTTCTGAGTGCAGAGCTAGGAATAACCCTTGAGCAACTTGAGAACCATTGGGTATGAGTACCTCCCCCCGCCCAACACACACACCCAAAAGAAATTCCCAGAGGAGGTGACACTACAGGGAAGTCAGAATCAGGAAGCAAATACCACCTGCAAAGGTGCAGGGGTGAGAGGCAGAGCAGCAGCTCAGACGCCCGGTGATGGGCTCCAGTATAGACTCGCATCACCGGAGCTCTTGGGGTACGTGCGGGTGCACCCGAGAGCCGCAGAGACGTGGCTGGGGAAGGATTGTCTGCAGCAACTCCCATGCCTGGCTTCCCTGGCCCTGCAGGGGAGCCAGGCACGTTGGGAGCTGGGCGGTGGCCACGCATGCCCAGCCAGGACAGGAGGGTGGGAAGAGCGTGGAGGTGCCTCCTGACCGCCCCCTCCTGCCCACCACCTCCAGCTGCCACCCAAGGGGAGGCTCCGAAGCCTGTGCAGCCAGCACATGGAGAAGCTGCAAACCTTCCAGCATCTTCACCCCATCGTGGTCCAGGCGGCTTTTCCCCCGCTCTACAAGGAGCTCTTCAGCACTGAAAGCGACGCCTCGGACGGACTGGCCGAGTGACTGGGTGACCCGGACGGGGCCTCTGTCCCCTTCCCGCCAGCCTGCTGGCCCACCTCCCCGAACCGCCTCAGCCCTGCCCACCTCACCACACCCTGCCTGCTCCTTCCTCCCCTGGACACCCTGCAGAGGTCCCTGCCCACTGAGAGTGAGCCAAGGCCAGGCCTCGCTTCCTGCCCACAGCTGGGCCGGGCAGGGCCCAGAGCCAGAGCGTGGTGTGGAGCTCCAGCTGCTGCCTCAGGGCTGTCCCCCTTCTGTCCCCACAGCTGCAGCGGGAGCAAGGGGGGACTGAGGCGGACCAAGTGACCCTCAGGAGGGGGTCCAGGGAAGCCCCAAGGAACAGAACTCAGCTCTGGATTCTGCATTCTCAACTCTGAAGCTCAGAACTGGCCTTTGAAATACCTCATTGAATTTCCCTGCAAAGATTTGGTGGCGGGGGCGGGGCGGGGGACGAATGAAGCTCAGAGTCTGGCCTCAGAGTCTGGCACCCAGAAAGATCTAGAATACTGGGAATCTGGTTCACTGCATCTGCCTTCCCCTCCTCTGAGCTCAGCAAGGAGGTGACTGGGCACCTGGCCCATTTCCCAGCGTCTTATAGCCAAAAAGGAAAAAAAAAAAACTCAGAAAAGGAGGTTAAGGAGGGGTGAGGTGAGGGGCTGGGGATCATGTTTTTAACAAAATAGGGGCTATAATAAAAGGATTAAGTGACGGCCACAGACACACTGGACAGAGGAAAAACTCAGACCTCTTATGTGCACTTTAAAGATGGATTCAAGGGGCTAGAGCCATAATACAGCAGGAAGGGCTCTTGCCTTGCACATGGCCAACCCAGGTTCAATCCCCAGCCTCCCATATAGTCTCCTGAGCCCCTCCAGAAATGACCCCTGAGCTAGGGTAGGAGCGATAGTACAGCGGGTAGGGCCTTTGCCTTGCACGCCGCAGACCCGGGTTCAATCCTTGGCATCCCATATGGTTCCCCCAAGCTCTATCACCAGGAGTCATTCCTGAGTGCAGAATCAGGAGTAACCCCTGAGCATCGCTGGATGTGACCCAAAAAAGAAGAAAGAAAGAAAGAAAGAAAGAAAGAAAGAAAGAAAAGAAATGACCCCTGAGCACAGAGCCAGGAGTAAGACCTGGGCACTGCTGGTGTGACCAACAAAACAAAACAAAGATGGACTTGAAGAGTTACCCAGCCCAGACCCGGTCAGACACACAGACACATCCACGCAGGGCAGACAGCACCCGTGGAGGTGGATCTGTCACAACAGTCGTGTCTTCGTGGAAGTCACGGTTCACAGCATCCTTGGGGACTCCCGAAGGAACAGTCTAGGGTCTCCATCCACCAGTCTCTCACCAGGTGGGGGTCCTGGCCCTATTCCCTTGCCTGCAGTTCCAGCCAGGGGACCCCCAGGGGGGACAGAGGTGGCTGGACTTGTGCAGCAAAGCCTGCCCACCTCTCTCGGCTTACAAATCGCTGTGACCCCCCTTCCCAGAATTGACAGCCAGCCGCGACCAGGTGGGGGACCCAGGTCTAGCTGGGTAGATCTAAGCCCCCCAACTCCTGCCACTCTTTATAAAATCATTTCCAAGGCGAGCACTGTGCATTTGTGTGTGTGTGTGTGTGTGTGTGTGTGTGTGTGTTGGGGGGCGGGGAGGGGGTCCCTTGGGTGGGCGGGAGCCTTAACTAGGGCGCTGCGGGCTGCCGCCTGGATCCAGGAGACCCAGATCTCCCGCCCAGCGCCCAGCCCCTCCGCAGCAGCGGGCGCGCGCCGCAGCGCCCCAACCCTCCTCCTCCCCACCCAGGCGTCGGGAGCCGCCAACTCCGCTCCCGGGGCGCCTGCAGGGAGAACTTTGCCCACGGGCGGCCCCCGGGGGCACAGGCCGGCGGGAGGCTGCAGGGGACCACCCCGGGGTGCCCTCCCCGCCGGCCTCCCCCCACCACGCGCCGCCGCCCGCCGTCCCGGGGCCGCGTCTGCTGCAGCCTCCCGGCGCCTTTATTTATTTATTTTGCACCAACTGGGTTGCTGCAGACTCATTCTCGCCCGGTTTAAAAAGCCAGAGAGGAGGAAAGGGAGCGCCGGAGACATGCTCCCGGGCGCCGGGCTCTCCCGCGGTCTGGGCAGCCGTGGCCGTGGCCGTGGCCGCAGCGGCAGCGGCCCGGGCGCGCGGGTGGGCAGCGGCGGGGCGTGAGGCTCCGGGCGAGGCGCGGGGGCCCCCGGGGCCGCGGGAATGGGACAGGGGCCCCGGCCCGCACCCGCACCCGCGCAGCGCCCCGCTGGATGCCGCCCTCCGGCCCCTCGGGTAAGTGTCCCCCGCGCCGCGCCCCCAGCCCGGGCCCCGCAGGACGTGGAAGGGAAACTGAGCCGTCCCGGGCGGGCGTCCCCGCGGGAGACCCCCAGCTCCGGGCCCCGCAATCCCCCCCCCGCCTCTGGGGAGGGAGGGCCTCCTCCTGGGCGGCAGGGTGGACGTTCCAGAACCGGCCCCGCGAGCCCCCTCCCCACCTCCCCGCTTCTCGGACTGGCGCTCTGCAGGGCCCGCTGGACGCAGCATCGCCAGGGCACGCGCGCGCGCGCGGGAGGGAACAGTCCCTCTGACTTGCAGGGGGGAGGGGAGCGGGGCAGCCGGACCCCACACCCTTGCCCACCCACTAGAGGCAGGAAGAAGTGGTTCCGACCCCTGGGCTTCCTGCGAAGTGGCCGGTGGCCAGCCCTGTGGCGAGGACACTGGGGAGTGGCAAGGGAAGTTGGTAATTGCATGAGCTGCCTTTCTCCGCGGGAGAACAGCTGTGCGCGCCCACCCCTGGGACTCCCAAATCACATCCCCCAGCCCCAATCCCCAGCCCCAGCAAGTGCTAGGGACTAGAACTCCCAGGAGTGGAAAGGAGGCCACTGGGTGGTGAGGCCACTGGGCAATGGGAGCTACTGGGTGACGGGGCAGTCGAGTGACCGGGGGCCAGGTAACGGGGGCTGCTGTTGGGGGGCTGGGTGATGCGGGCTGGGTGACAGGGCAGCAGGGTGCCAAGGGGGCTGGGTGACGGGGGCAGCAGGGTGACAGGCTTTACTGAGCTTTTGCCGGACGCGAAGCCAGAAGGGCCAGCCGAGACTGCAGCAGAGGGAGTGGACTGTCAGGTAGACTTCGTGGAAAAGACAGCCAGAGAGTGAGGGACACTGGGATGCCCAGCCAGTCCCTGGATCGCTCTCAGCTTGCTGTGTCCCTGTTCGGTGGGGCCATTCCTCTTCTGGCCTCTGCGCTAGCTTCTCTCTTCCGTAGTGGCAGCATCGCGCCAGCTCTGCCCTTCTAGAAGGTGCAGAGTAGGAAGGAGGAAGGGAGAAGCCCCCTGCGCCTCCCAGCCTCTCTGATGCACCCCACGCAGAGGCGCACATAGAGATGGTCTAAAGTCCGAGTCCCCGGCAGTCACTGGCCACCTGCTCTCAGGGCACAGCTGTGTCTTCTCTCCAGGCACCCCTGGCTTCCCTGGGAGTCCCTGGGCACACCCTTGAGTAGACCCCGCACCCCCGCCACCTTGAAGGTCTGCAGTGGTCAGCAGGGCTCGTGCTCTCTAGCGTTGCCCACAAACCAGAAGTCCACTTCAGGTTGACAGGCCGTGCTCACCGCCTGCGTCAGGCTGAGGCCTCCCTGCCTCCCCCGGGGGGGTCTCCTGCCTCACACTCTGCCTGTGCCGGGGTGCAGGTAGCTGTACCCTAGGGGGTCAAGCTGTCCCTCAGACTCCCCCCGGGCTGGATGACAAGTCCCTCAAGGAAGGAGAGGGGAGCAGCCAGACCCCAGCGCCAGAGCCAAGAACTCGGCCGTTAAGGTGTCCCTCTCCCACTCCACAACAACACTGGGGGCTCCTGTGAAGGATATTCAAGTGCCCCTGGTGTCCCCTGCCCACAGGCACTGGCTGGACGCGGCCTGGCTGCCATCCGCGCTGGCTCTGGGAGGCTGAAGGGACGGAGGGACAGAGCTGAGCAGTGCAAGTGACCCAGCCCTGGGTGACCCCAGGATGTGATGCAGAGCCATCTGTAGATGATACGGGGACAGCAGCTACCAGGGAGAGCCACCTGATCTCACCGATGACACAGGGGGAAGCACCTACCAGAGAGGCTGAAGCCACTTCCCCCTGCCTCCTGCCTTGTTCCCCCAAAACTCCCCTCAGAAGTCAGGTCAGGCCGTGCCCGGCACGTACGTGGCCTGTTCTCCAGGCTTGGGTTGGGGAGGAGAGTAAAAGTTACCCAAGAAGGATCCCCCGAAGGGCGCAGGAAGAATCCCGGAATGCCAGAATTCCAGCTGGACAGTGCCGGCTCGGCCCGTCCCGGTCTGGTCCAGAGGGACCCTGGGGTCATCACCCTGTGAAGCCATTTTCCCTAAAGGACCTGTCCCCGTGTATTTCCAGGACGCAAGAAGGGATGGCAGCCGTCGCGGCCCTGAGGCTGGCCTGGCCCCCGTGGCCGCTGCTTCTGCTCCTCCTGGGGGCGCCCGGCAGTGGCGGCTGCCCGGCGCTCTGTGACTGCAGCTCCCAGCCCCGGGCGGTGCTCTGTGCCCATCGGCGCCTGGAGGCCGTCCCAGGGGGCCTCCCTCTGGACACTCAGCTCCTGGACCTCAGCGGGAACCGCCTGTGGGGCCTGCAGCGGGGCATGCTGTCTCGCCTGGGCCTGCTCCAAGAACTGGACCTCAGCTACAACCAGCTGTCCACTCTCGAGCCCGGGGCCTTCCACGGCCTGCAGAGCCTACTCAGCCTCAAGCTGCAGGGCAACCGGCTGCGCATCATGGCCCCCGGGGTCTTCGCTGGACTGTCCGCCCTCACGCTGCTGGATCTACGCCTCAACCAGATCGTCCTCTTCCTGGACGGGGCGTTCCGGGAGCTGGGCAGCCTCCAGCAGCTGGAGGTGGGCGACAACCACCTGGTGTTTGTGGCCCCGGGAGCCTTTGCAGGCCTGACCAGACTCAGCAGCCTGACCCTAGAGCGGTGTAACCTCAGCTCGGTCCCTGGCCTGGCCCTGGCGCGGCTGCCTGAGCTGGTGGCCCTCCGGCTGCGGGAGCTGGACATCTGGAGGCTGCCAGCGGGCGCCCTCCGGGGACTGGGCCAGCTAGAGGAACTGGAGATCCACCACTGGCCGTCTCTGGAGGTTCTGGAGCCGGGCAGCCTGATGGGCTTGAACCTCAGCATCCTGGCCATCACCCGCTGCAATCTGACCACTGTGCCCGTCCAGGCCCTGCACCACCTCAGCTTCCTCCGAGTGCTGGACCTGTCCCAGAACCCCATCTCGGCCATCCCCGCCCACAGCCTCAGTCCCCTGGTGCGCCTCCAGGAGCTGCGCCTGTCTGGCGCCAGCCTCACGTCCATCGCCGCGCACGCTTTCCACGGCCTCACGGCCTTCCACCTGCTGGACGTGGCGGACAACGCCTTGCAGACCCTGGAGGAAACGGCCTTCCCGTCTCCGGACAAGCTCGTCACGCTCAGGCTGTCTGGAAACCCCCTGACCTGTGACTGTCGCCTTCTCTGGCTACTCCGGCTGCGCCGGCGCCTGGACTTCGGCAAGTCCCCCCCTGCCTGTGCGGGGCCGCAGCACGTCCAGGGCAAGAGCCTGAGGGACTTTTCCGACATCCTGCCCCCAGGCCACTTCACCTGCCAACCGGCCCTGATCCGAAAGTCAGGGCCGCGGTGGGTGGCGGCCGAGGAGGGTAGCCAGGCCATCTTCTCCTGCTCGGGCGACGGAGACCCGGCTCCCACGGTGTCCTGGCGGCGACCACAGGGGGCCTGGCTGGGGCAGGCCGGGAGAGTGAGGGTCCTGGAGGACGGCACGCTGGAGATCCGCTCTGTGCAGCTGCGGGACCAGGGGGCCTATGTCTGCGTTGTAAGCAACATCGCTGGCAATGACTCTCTGAAGACCTGGCTGGAGGTCATCCCTGTCGAGCCAGCCAACGGCACACTCCTGGACCCCAACATCACTATGCCGGGGATCCCGGGACCCTTCTTCCTGGATGGCAGGGGTGTAGCCATGGTGCTGGCTGTTGGCTTCCTGCCCTTCCTCACCTCTGTCACCCTCTGCTTTGGCCTCATCGCCCTCTGGAGCAAGGGCAAAGGCCGGGTCAAACATCACGTGACCTTCGATTTTGTGGCACCTCGGCCCTCCGGGGATAAAAATGCTGGGAGCAATCGGGTCACTGCCAAGCTCTTCTGACCTTCCTTCCATGCTCAGAACCCGGCCGGACCAGCTTCAGATCTCAGGGCATGAGAAGCGAGTGCCGGGAGCAGAAGCTTGCCAGGCCACGCAAAGCTCTGGGACTCCTGCTTCATGCCCACCAGCGTGGCCGGTCCAGCCTGTGCTCGGGCCACCCACAAGAGTGGCACTGTGTCTCTTCTCTGCAGGCCCAGGAGCTCCAGAGTCTGCCCTGCCTGCGAGGCTGCAGACAGAACCAGTGACCCGTCGCTGACAGCCCCAGCTCCCAGGGGACCTCAGATGTGGGGCGCCACCACTCGCCAGCCAGCATCCTGCTCGGCCCCAGAACCGCAGGTTCAGAGGAGGAATGGGGGGAGGGGACAGGATATACTCTTATGTGCATGAGCCCCACTGTCTGCCTGATGTCACATCATTAAATCTGTGGCAGAAATACCTATAACAAAATGGGATTTCTGGACCTTCTTGGCTTCAGCTGTCAGCTCCCTGGACATAGGAAGCTTTGCCTGATAAAATAAGGCGGGGAGGTGGCCTAGCGAGTGCAGGACACGAGCCTCCTTGGTTTTGTTTGGGGGTGAGGGTGCTCCCCAGGGATCTCCTCCTAGTGTCTCAATGCTCAGACATTCCTGCAGCGCTAGGAATAACCCAGGGCACCTGATAATGTTCTGGGGGTCTCCAGGGTCACACCCAGAGATACTCGGAGACTTTGTGGTGCCACAGATCAAACGAGGATGGCCACAGACAAGGGGAGCACGTTAGGCCCTGTCTGGGTACCAAACCTTTGCAGTGTCAATCTTGTTCTTCTTCATCTGGGATGGGAAGAAAGGGCCTCTACAAGAATCCAACCTGAAGGCCACAGACCCTTGCCTTTCTCTATTTATTTGCTTAGGTTGGGAGAACCCGGCAAGCTACCGAGAGTATCTCGCCCGCACGGCAGAGCCTCGCAAGCTATCCGTGATGTGCTCGATATGCCAGACACAGTAACAGCAAAGTCTCCAATGGAGACGTTACTGGGCCCGCTCGAGCAAATCGATGATCAACGGGAGGGCCTTTACTTTACTTTACTTAGGAGGCCACACCTGATCAGCATGCTCAGGCATTACTCCTGGCAGTGCTTGCGGGATCATATGAGATGCCAGGGACCTGCCCCCGGGGGATCTGAACCCTGGTCAGTTGTGCCCAGGCAGGTGCCCACCATTCTTGATGGCCTCTCCCCGCTATTCATTCCTGCCTTGCACAGCCTCCGTGCCCCAGAGGGAAAGCAAAGAAGGAAACTCCCAGGAATGGAGCCAACAGGAGCCGCAGCCTGCATGCAGCCCCTCAGGCCGGAGACCCAGGCTGGCAGTGGCATGCTTGCAGGAAGGAGGCGCAGGCAGGCAGGCAGGCTGCCTAGAGAATTTCCACTCCTCTTCCTGCCTCCTCGTTCTGAGGCCAGCCACACCCCAGTAGAGGGCACGGTCTGACAGAGACCCCCAGCGGAGAGGGAGGAGGTGCTGATGCATCAAAGAGAGGGGATGCAGAACGGAGAATCCCCATCCTCCTCATCTCTCCTTCACTAGAGTATCTCCAAACCCCCCTCCCCCACTTGCTGCTGCTGCTGCTGCTGCCCTTGCTCTGAGGGGACTCCATTCATTGGAAGCGTCCAGTGAGGGCAGTCAGACTGCAGGGCAGGCAGGCTGAGGGGCGGGAGGGAGAGGGGCAGCAAAGGGTGAAGGTGCACCCAGCAACTTGGAGGAGAGGTTGGAGAATCCCAGGAACTCCCCCCCCCCTGCTTACAGCCCCCCCCCAGAAGGGTTTCGAGACCACCCCCCTCTCCGAAGTCTTTAGCCAGCAGTTTATTTGGTTGGGATTTGGGGGTCAGGTGCTAGAGGTCGTCACCCCAATTGTGGGCTCTGCAATGCAGAAAGGGGCCGGGCGGAGCTGCTGTGTTGCGGAAACTTCCACCAAGCCCCCCAGGCAGCGAACAGATGGCGCCTTTGAGCTCCGTCTCCAGTGACACTCGCTGTCCAACAGACGCAGCGCAAAGCACATGCCCAGGTGCACACTGACAGCATGGCAAGAGGATGGCACAAAGAGAGCCAGGGATGGGTGCTGGTGGGGTTGGGGGGGGGGGGGGGACAGGCCTCTCGGATGTGAGACCCCGGGTTCCCCGGCCAGTACCAGGAAAAGAAAAGGCAAAGTGAAACCAATACAGTGAATATTAACACTTTTATTTCAGTCAATGAACTTCATCTATTATTTTCATATCAATATAAAAATCGGTAGCAAGATGGTTCACAGTGTCTTTTTCATGTTTTTTGTTTTTGTTTGTTTGTTGCTTTTTGGGTTACACCCGGCGATGTTCAGGGGTTATCCCTGTCTCTGCACTCAGGAATTATTCCTGGTGATGCTCGGGGGACCATATGGGATGCCAGGGATCGAACCCATGTCCCCTGCATGCAAGGCAAGCACCCTCCCCACTGTATAATCGCTCCGGCCCTACAGGGTCTTTTTTAATCCAATGGAGTTTATACCCACAGTGCATGTGAATTTTTTTTTTTGGGTCACACCCGGCGATGCACAGGGGGCTTACTCCTGGTTTATGCATTCAGGAATTACTCCTGGCAGTGCTCAGGTGACCATATGGGATGCTGGGAATTGAACCCGGGTTAGCCACATACAAGGCAAACGCCCTACCTGCTCCAGCCCCAGCACATGTGAATTTGATCACAAAATTTTCACCAGAAAATGTCGTTTGTGTTTAGATTTCAGTAAATTCCCTGCTGAAGGAGGAGATTTACTTATCACCTAGTAAAAAACATTAAGTGTTTTCCAATAACTAAGTCAAGGGATGTCCTGATAAGATGTCGTTCACATCTTATCAGGACATCTTTTTATGATATCTTATTATCTCATTCCTACTTTGGACAAACTTGCAGGCTATCGAATATAGCCTGCCCACAGGGCAGAGTCTGGCAAACTCCCCGTGGCACACCACATATGCCAAATACCAGTAACAATGATGGGTCTCATTCTCCTAAAGAGCCTTGAATATAACCTCAGGGCTAGGATGAATGGAGACGTTACTGGGGCCTGCTCGAGGCAATCGACGAATAACAGGATGATGAATGAATGAATGATGAAGTCAAGGGATGCTTTAACATTTAAACTTAGAATTACTTTCCCTTCCTGGAGGGAAGTTTCATTCCTATGAGCCAGAGATAGCACAAAGGTTAGGATATATGTCCAGGGGCCAGGGACACAGCACACCAGTGCATGCAGCCAACCCATGTATGACCCCTGGCTCCCGATATAGTCATTTGAGCCTGCTAGGGGTGACTGCTGAGGGCAGAGCCAGGAGTGAGCACAAAGCACTACTGGGCATGGCCCCAAAAGCAAAACACTTGGAACGCTTGCTCAAATCCCAGAATTGCACATGATCACTGGAGCACTGCGAGGTGTGGCCCCCACAAAAGCAAAAGGTTCATCCCTGGTGGCACAAGCCTCCTTGCAAGTGTTCAGAAGACAAATACAGGAAGGCAAAGCTTCCATCATTACTCCCTTGGGCTGGGGTTTCCTGGGCAGAAGAGGGACAAGCACCGAGAAGCTTCTTCAACATAGGGGGGATGCCTGCACAGTCACTCCACTTTGCCTCACTCATTCCCTTCTTGTTTCTGTTTTGGGGCCACTTCTGGGGGATTCAGGATTTACTCCTGGCTCTGGGCTCAGGAATCACTCCTGGAAGGGCTGACGGTGGGGGAGGGAACCACCCACATGTGGTGCTACGGATGAAACCCTAGCATGCAAGGCCTTCCCCATTGCACACATTTTTTTTTCTTTTTGGGTCACATCTGGCAATGCACAGGGGTTACTCCTGGCTCTGCACTCAGGAATTACTCCTGGCGGTGCTCAGGGAACCATATGGGATGCTGGGAATCTAACCCGGGTCAGCCGCGTGCAAGGCAAACGCCCTACCTGCTGTGCTATGGCTCCAGCCCCTGCTCACAAATTTTGCGGAATAATATTTAGGGGACAAGCCTATTATATCAATATTATTGGAATGAGCCCGTGGCTCATCCAAGTATAGGAAGGAAGTCTTAGCTCAGGTGTGCATGCGTCGTGTGCTGTCAAGGACACAGGCAGGTGCAGTGTGCACATACATGGGGGATGTTATGGTCCTCACAGAACGGGGACCAATCTGATGGAGGTGATGCCCCGAGTGAAACTCTAGCGGGAAAAGGACAATATATTTCTTGAGGCTCTCGTCTATGCTGAGGCTTCATATGCCAAAAAGCCTTGACACTGATGCTCTATGACCGCCCCCACCCCTGGTCTCTGGGAAAGGTCACAGGGTGATCCTCTGCCCAAGCCACTCGGAACAACTCTTCCCAGGACCCAGGGGCACAGCAGTTGCCTCTCGCTCCTCTCCATCAATCTAATGTCCCTGATTCGAGAGCTACCAGAGGCTGGTTGATTTCCAGTCTTCAACCCCTCTGTCCTCCCTTCCTAGTTTTTCTCTGCCTTTCAGAGCCTGCAGAAAGGAAGGGAAATTCCAGGTATCAGAGGGAGAGAAGGGAATTTTGGCTACCAGGAACAGTCTCTCAGAATTAATAATGGAGGCTCCACGTTTGTGGGTCCTCCACATCACAACCTCCCTGGCGACAGAGGCAGCAGGGGGATTTCAGGATCAACAGAATAATTTGCTTGGAGGAAATCTGGACTCTGTCCCCTTCAGCCAGCCCAGCCCGCAGGTCCACTCTTCCAGCACAGACCTGCTGAGAATCCAGCTCACAGGCGCTTGGGACCAATGATACTTGAGCAACATGTCAGCAACATGTCCCCCTTCTGATCTGGACGATATTCTCTTGCTAGTTTCTCTATTTCCTTTGCTGTCCTAGGACACTGATTAAAGGGAGAGAGGAGAGTCCTGCAGGGCAATGATCCTCGTAATTTTATTTTATTGAGTCTCAGACCTGGGAACTCTTGGTGTGATCCATGAAGTTAGGAAGTTCAAAAACGATGCATAGTCAGGGGGCTGGAGCAATAGCACAGCGGGTAGGGCATTTG